TATCTATCTATCTATCTATCTATCTATCTATCTATCTATCTATTTATATATATCTATATATGTGTGTTTATAGATGTATTTTAAACATGTATAAAAACTATTTTTAAAAAATTGTCTAATTAACCAGATTTTTCATATTTTAAACATGTATAAAAACTATTTTAAAAAAATTGTCTAATTAACCAAATTTTTGAAGTTGAAGTTTTCAGTTGAACCTGAGGTTGTGTCATGTACCCCCAAGGGGTTGCAGACTTCCTGTTTAAAACTGCTGACCTAGAGACAACTGGCCTTTATATCTTTTCCTAGAAAAAAGAAAGAAAAAAAGAATAAAAACAAAAACAGTTTCATTCCTGCAGTCATTTCCAGGCCAAATGTCGACAGGGCTTCTATTTTATGACCATGTGAAAATAGTTAAAATAATCCTGATTTTTAATAGCTAAATTCAAATGTACTGCTATCCAGGCCTGCTGCTACACTACTTCACTCTAATCAAGTAAATCCTGATAATTGCACTACTTGATAAATGTTATTTTTATATAACAATGCATTTTATATGTATGTTTATCTGCTATAAAAACACAAGTATCAACACAAACATCAAATTATTATTGAATAGCAGTTCTTTACTCAAGTTAGAGTCTTTAATGTACATTACCAAAACATGAACTAAATTATGTGAATATCTCATACCGGGAGTGTATAGTATAACTTGGTCTGGTCAAAGGAAGCCTGCCTGGGACATTAAGTTATTACTCACTAAAGGCCCTCAGAGGCCACTGGCCATTATGGTAAATGCTCATTACCTTAACTGCATTTTGACACATTTTTCCCTTTCTACTGGTTCAGCACATGCACTTCGGTGCAATGAAATGCACACTTGGGCTGTTTCACAATAAATGGCTCTCTGCGTTCTGCCACATAAACCCACGATTCTGTCTTCTGCACTTCAAGTGTTAACAAAAACAAATACTCGTCTTGTTATGAACATACATTTCAAACCTGACACTTGAGGATAGAGATACGAGGCTGTGTGTCTTTGGTGGGGTTAGTGTTTATTCAGTACTGCTCATGTCTGTTTCACAGCCTCGGTCCAATGTCTGTCTGCGGATCCGAAGACGATTGAAAGAGTGCGGAAGGGTTTAAATGGCAGCCTTACGCTGCAACATCACTTTCCATCAAGTTGCAATGAGTGTTTGTGTTCCGACAGCCCCTAAATCAGGTATGAGTAACAAAAACTCTGTCTTTTCCCTCTTTGTTTTAATGCAAAAAATTAAATAAAATAAATATTCATATTTAGTAAAATTTTGCAAAACAGGCCATACAGGAACGCTAAGCGGGCGAGTTTTGGCCCACGGGCCGTATGTTTGACACCCCTGCTCTAAAGAGACATAAGGCCTGCAGGTTTGTAATGCGGTAATGAGAAAACCATTAGGGTTCACTCAGTGAGAAAAAACAAACAATTAGTTGTTTGCTGTGCTGAAGGCTAGTAAAATATGAGTAACTATTAGCTATCTTCCCAAACACACACACATAGGAAGACAAATGTTTGTGTGTGTTGAACGTTAAAAAAAAGAGTTAAAAACAATACAGAATTTACCGGAATAATGAAGTGAAACTGGGTAATAATGTCTGCTGCAGCACATTGCTAACAATTAGAAACAGGTTTATACAGGCATAAAGGAACAAAAAAAAAAGGAATATAATATTTACAAGAATTACATAAACGCACAAAAGTATATCAACAATGTTTTAATTTTAGTTATGCTTTCCTGTTTTTCAGAAGCATTTCTTTATTGGCAGGCAAAACAAACTAATTATGTATTCAAGTGAGATTAGCTAGTTATTATCATCATTGTCCACCACAGCTCAGCTAAGCTAATTTCTGCTAAACCATAGGTTTTCTAGGTCAGAAAAGCAGCGTGTGGCTTGGAAAATCAGACTTGAGTTGAGGATTTTGATTGGTTTGAATCCCAGCAGGGGTCATGGTTTGTTCAGCGAACAATAAAGTTCAATGCGCTTGGGTGCTTCCCTGATGACAAAATATAAGCTGCTACAGCTGTGGCTAAGAAACAAACAAAAACAAAACTGCTGCACTGCTGCCACCTACTGACTATATTATATATATTTTTAAACTACGCCAAATAAAATGGACGTTTTATGCAAGTATGAAAATAGTAATTGGTGTCAACTTAATCCTTAATTAACTACCGTGCTGTTCCAAAGTGTTAAGCAGGTGTTGACCTTCATATTACGTCGCCCTTTTTGGCCAACCCTTCCGTGTAAATATTTTATCCTTTAATTCTTTTGAGCCAAAACCAAGACATAAAAGAAAACTTGTCCACAAATAAAATCATTATCGAGTCAGGAATAATTGACAGTCATTACAAATAATATCACACCAGAAAGGCTTCCTTTTATAGGAAAATTTTAATAGTTATTCAATGTTCTACATTTTACAGTAAATATACAATTACAAACTTGGCTTAGTTATAGTACTAAGATCACTAACTGATCTTAAAAAACCCTCAACAACATAAAAACATAAAAAAAAGGAAAAAAAAAAAAAAAAAGGAAAAAAAAAAAAAGGAAAAAAAATTAAAAACAGATTTACACTTCATATCACAAGCCTGATGCGGGTCCTTCACTCTGGACCAAAATAGCTAACGTAAAATTCACTTCTCTCAACGCTGAACGAGACGCTGGGCTTCAGTTTCAGTTTCAAACACAACCTTACGGTAACAGAACTACCAAAGCATGTGCAAACTGGGTACAAAAAAAACAAAACAAAAAAAAAAAACATCCAAAGATGGGGTTGTTCTGAATGCAACTGTGTTTGTGGTTTTTTTTTCTTACTTTTGTTTGGAAGACAAGGAATTTCCACTTTTTGCATCACATTTAGTGTCAAAAAAAAAAAAAAAAAAAGGCAAAAGACAGATAAACTGCTGACGATTTGAAACGAAATAGCCGTAGCAGAACATCCAAAAACATTGAAGTGTCTACTATTCGCTGTGATAGTAGTGTTTTTCTCATACTCATGAAAAAGAAGTTAAGACTCGGCAACTGCAAGGCAGTAGAGAAAACAGGGAGGAGAAATGATGGGAGGAATGGGTGCAAATGGTCCTGTGTTGTTATTTTTTTTTCAAAACCACCATCAAAGTATAAAAACAAAGGCAGAATTAAAATACACTGAAAAGCAAGTGTCAGTTTTAGGAAATGTCAATGTAAGCTGGAGAAAAAAAGAGAAGAAGAAAATAAGATCCTATAGTTAAGACAGTTTTGCATTTCTTAAAACACAGCAAAGTGTTCAGTAATTTTCAGTAAGTGCAAATTGTAATATGGAGGTGAAGGCAGAGGGTAAACTCAGCCATTTATCAGTTTATTCTACTCTGTGCCACAATTAAACAGTTATTTCTGTTTAAAGAGCGTTGGTCCTCGGACGAAACATTTTTTTTAATCCAATTCTTTTTCTTTTTTTTTTTTTAGAAAATGTTCCCTTGGGTCTAGGAAAAATAATGTGTAACCAACTGCATATTCTAATTGTAAAGACATTTATATATATAATAATGGAACGCGAGCCTTAGGTGGAACTGCACTGAGTATTCTAATTGTAAAGACATTTATATATCAATAATGGAACACGAGCCTTAGGTGGAACTGCCACTTATTTGTCTTAAAGCCAGTGGGCCAAAGATCAATATTAATCTGTACGAATTCCAATAACTTTAAGAAGCTCACCTTAGTTAGGATGTCAAACATAAGGCCCGTGGGCCAAAACCAGCCGGAAAGGTGGTTAAAGCCGGCCCGCTTGATGAATTTTGAAAGTTAAAAAAATGCACAAATACTCCATGTTTATGATGTTTGTGAAATATTTCATTACATATGAATATTTTCAACATAATTCTACTTTGTTTAACATGGAAACTAAGGGGGAAAACGTGGAATTGTTATTTACAGGTAATTATGTTACTGGTCCGGCCCACTTGACGTCTAATCAGGCTGATTGTGGCCCCTGAATCAAAATGAGTTTGGCACCCCTGGTTTAGGGTAACTGGTAGTTAGTTGCAAAGTTCATGGTGATGCTAAATGACAGGAAGATAGAGTCAGAGCAGAGGGTTGGAGCGGGAGGAGAGAGGGCAAAATGAAAATGTTCTCTTAAGAGAAAGCTGTGGCACAAAGTGTAAAAGAGGGATTAACAGGACACAAAGAGAAATATAAAACGAGCGAAACAGTCAAATATTACACCAGGACAGCAACAGATAAACAAACACCGTCACAGGAAGTTAGACAGAACAGAGACTCGAGTTCACCAGGTACTGGGAGGGAAACAAAAAAACAAAGTCTTAGCAAATAAGTTGGCGAAATATGGCACAGAACAGAGGGCATGGAGGGTTTTCAAGACATCTTTCTATATTGACGTTGCATCCACGGGACAAAGATGGCCAGAGCATTATGGGAACTTTCCTTTCCTCTCTCCACTCAAGTCAAGACTAATGCCATCCATCTATATTAAACCACACGCCTCACAAGGTCTGTAAATGTGGGAGTTTGAAATCTGTGAACACAGAGCAGTCAGGCCTGGACTTTTTGCAACAGGTCAAAACCATGAAGACCAGTGGTTCTCAAACTACGGTATGTTTATCATCAATGGTACTTACGCTGCAGTGGTATGGAAGAGAATCAATTTCTTTTAAAAACAGACAAATAATTGTATAGGTGGAAAAAAGGCCGTTCTTCATTTTCTGTTAGTCCACCTTTAAAAACTGTTTCCTTGAAAAGTTGGTTTGTGTCGAAATATTTTTTTGCCAGGGTGTTCTGCATATTCCCGCTGTATTTACAGACCTTGTTCCATAATGTGAGAAAAGTCAGGAAAGAGAAAAAAAACAGTTAAAAGCACAAACAGTAGCTGCCACATTGATGCAACCATGCTGGGCTAGAAATACATAACTGTACCACTTGCTGTATAAATATACTGTTTTTTTTTTAAACATAGTGATCCAATGCTATAGTTAAATACAGCTGAATATTATGCATACCCATTATGTTTAATCGACCAGAGGGGAAATGGGGAAAAAATGGGGCATACACAAGTCCAAAAAAAAATAAAAATACTGACAGAAGACGTGGTTGGTTAAATAAATTCTAATGACATGCCACATCACTGCTGTCGCATGAAAAAACACTTCATTTCCATCCCCACATCTTCACCAGATGAGGTGACGACTTCCTGACCCTTTGTTCCAACAGCACGCACCCTGTGCCCTCTAAAATACTGGGTCATACAGGAAAAAAAAAAAAAGGCTCAAAGATATGTGGCTTTCATCCGACAGCAAGATTATGCAATATTTTCTTGAGAATTAACCTACTAGTGTACAAACACCAGGACTAAGAATACCTCAAAACACTCCACATTGGGTTTTTTTTTTTATATATTTTTTTTAACTTTTAATTACAATATAAACTGCTTCCTCCTCACCCTTTGCACTACAAAGCCTAGGTACCTGTTGCTTAGCATTAAATTGTTATCATCAAGTTCTCTTATGTTGTGCAATATTTCATCACAAAGTTATTCAATACCCACGTCCCAAAGATTTCTGATATGTTCTACTATTCTTAGCATTAACTGTAATAATTATTGTGGGCTGTATAAAAAGCCCTGCAATCCATATTTAAGAGATTACAACAAATAGCAATTAAAAAAAAAATTAAAATCAATCCAAAAGGCTGATAAAAGTGTTCAACAGCCCAGAGGCATCCCTCTTGTTTTTATTGCAATAACAATCCACTTCATCTACCTACCAGCACTGTAAATGCCTTTTGATATTCCAACCTGTACTCTATAGATCATTAATATTTGAAACTCTTATTTTTAAAGCCACAGGCCTCGTCTATTTATTTATTTACCACCAATGAAAACTCTGCATCTGCCCCCCCCCCCCCAGTTGTGGACCAATAACCAAAGACCGAGTAAGACGTGTGAACTTTACTCTGAAAAACCTAGCCTTAACGAGTTAACTACTGCATTTTATGTCATTACTTAATTACTGTTATTATAATTGTTGAAGTTTGCCATCTAAACATAAAGGAATACTGAAGTTGATGAAAACACAGTAAAAAGAGGTTGTTTTTCCCACACAATACTGCTAAAAGTCTAATGGTTCGCTACTGATCAAAATCCTGCTGCTCTTTCACTCCACACAGATTTCTCCTGTAGTCGAGCTGCTGCATCGGCAATGAAAATCTTAAGAAATTATTAAAACAGTTCGAAAATTTGGCTTAAAAACTCCTGGATTAGACTGTGTTGAAGTAGTGTTACTGCTTCAGTGTGGTTAAGAGGAGATCTTATGGCACCAAGAAGCAAAATGAAGGACTGAACCATTCATCGTCTGTATGACAGTCCATTATTGACTGTGTGCTCGAGAGTCTGGGTTTGTCTTTGCACCGTGTTTGATTATTAGTCCTGCTCTGGAGAAAGGGAGGAGGAGGAGACGGCGTTTTGTTTAAGGTGAGAAAATCGATGTATGATATGTTTAGTGCAAACAAAAAAAATTGCAGAGGTGTGAGTGCAGTTTGTTGCAGATGAAGATGTGGAACCCAAATGCCTGGTACTTAGAAATGAAATCACGGACTTTACATGTCGTCATCGCCTCCTCTTTCCTCACCAACTGCTCAATTTGTCTTGTCCTGCTCCCATCACTGGCGCCAACACATTCCCTTTAACTCACTTCACTCCTGTCTGATTTTGCCTTGTGCAAACCTTATGTGATTGTGTGTGTTTGTGTGTTGGTCAGTTAAAAGCAGAGCTCACTGATGCTGAACTTTAACTGCTACCATGTGATTGTGTTTTTTAAATCACCCTGTAGGAGGCAGTGTGTGTGTCTGTGTGTTATGTTTTTATCGCTTTGAACATGTGTAAAAGTGTGCATGACTACCCGTGCAATTGTCTGTTAGTGTAATCTTTTAGTAAACGCATCAACTTATGCCAACCGTGTGAAAAAAAAAACTAAAAAAAAAACTAAACTGCATAGAATGTGGCGTGAAGGAGGCAGCAAGATCTAAAGTCTATATGCTAGGCTCTGGGCTAAAGTTGTGCATGCATTAGTGTGAATGAAAGCCAGTAGGCAGTGGGACACGGCATGTTGAGGCAGGGACGCGTATGACAAGGGTGAGGGGACAAAATAACTGCAAGACTGGTGGCCATGTGCTGGAAGACGATCGAGGTTTGGCAGGAAGTGAAACAAACCAGGTGAGAAATAGATGAAGATTAAGGAAGAACCAAGGAGGCGAAAATACAAACGCGATATGATTGAATGTGGTAAAAAAAAAACCAAACAAAACAAAAAAAGGTTAAATACCCCCCTCCCGAAAACAAGCTTCATTATGTTCAAACCCTGTGCTGATATCTAGTTGTTAAAAAGTTTGGCAGCATAAGTCAGTAAGTCTTTGTAGTGGATGATGGAAATGATAACGAGGAGTAAGTGCCCAATATTTTCCAGCCAACTGAGCAACAGCAGGCAGGATATACACACACACAAACATGCACGCACACACACACAGAGAGACAGGAGACACCTTGACACCTATGACTGGTCAAGAGTCCTTCTGGAGTTCCAATAACAGACGCAGCGAAGAAGGAAATAGGAAATAAAATAAAAAACCCAACCCTATAAAATAAAGTAATGACTGTTTGGCAAATGAACTGAAAAAATAATAATAAAAAATAAAAACCAAAGCAGCGTTTGTAATATTGTTAAGAGAATGTGGCATAATATAAAAAAACTAAAAAAAAGAAAAAAAAAAAAAAGAAAACATAATAAAGTGGCTGTTGCACTTTAGTTTTGTTCAGACAGGTGCCGAGTTCCCATGGTTACCAGCGAGAGCCCGTGTGAGATTTGAGCAGTTGCATACGATGGTGGACTCCAGATCTGGGTGAGGGATAAAGGTGTGGATTAACACAGAGGTGGTAATGTTTGTTTAAAACAAAAAAAAAGGGAAGGGACACAGAGGTGGTAATGTTTGTTTAAAAAAAAAGGGGGCGGGGAGGTAGGGCAGACACTCACATGGTGGGTTGGCTCTACCAGTGGGGGGGTACGTAGCTGTACCCAGGTGTCCCTTGTGGCCTGTAGGTTGGCACAGTAACTGGGTGAGCTCCAATCGGTGGGTGCTGGGGTGCTGTCAGCAGGGTCCCTACAGGAAGTCATCAACAACACGGTGAATACAGTAGTCTGTTCATCATAGTTGTAAATGTGTCTGTTTTTATGGAGCAGAACTTTCTGGAGACAAGGTTATTGGTTTCAGACGTATGTGAGGTTACTCTTTACGGCGTCATAATCTGGTTGTCACTACGATTATCTCAGGCACTCTGAAGTGTTCAAAACATTGCAGCACTCCATCGCAAAAGAGTGAAAAGTCTGTCTGTAGTTTTAGTTTCTCAGTCTTGGTTTCGTGAAGACGTTTCACCTCTAATCAAAGAAGTTTCTTTAGTTTTGAACTGAATGAAAACACTTGTAATCACACCAGTTGGTAAAAAAAAGGATTCAGGACAACCAGAGTTAGGAACCTGTCCAAACATGTCTTTCTGTAGGTACCAAGTGCAACTCAACCTAAACACTCCTCTCTGACTGTCTGTAACTGAACACTGCCAGTGGTTTCCAAAAAGGCAATCATAACAGTTTTGGGTAGACCCCTGACATAAGGAGACACTAAAGAGCAACTTTTGCTCACGGTACCTGCGCTCATAGCCATAGTCGTCCCAGCGACCATTCCCATGGCAGCCATGCCGTTGTTGCGTGGGGCTGGTACAGGGACAGGAGCAGGATAGAGGGCTGTGGACGGGATGCTGTTAGGCTGCACCACAGTGGTGTGATGGATCACATGTGGCTGAGCCGCATACACTGGTTGGGTGTAGTATGCTCCCTGTCAAAACGCACACAGGAGAGGGATGGTGAGAGGGTGGTGATGGTGCATCTTCCTTAAGCCAGGACCAAACGTTCAGAAGACACAACAAGTGTGTCCTTACCTGCGCATAAATGTTCTGCTGCGGATAGGCACTGCGAATGGGGTACATAGCTGCCGGGTATGGGGTGGCAGTGGGGGTGTAGGGCGGAGGTGCTCCATTTGACTGGGTGGGTGGCACCTTGTACGGGGTGCCTGCAGCAGTATATCCTGACGGAGGAAGAGATAGAAAGAAATGATGGGAAAGATATCAAGCACATCAAAACAAAACAACTAATATCAATTTTTTTTTTGTTAGTTTTTTTTTTAAATAAATAATAATTTAACAGTAATTTAATGTTTTATTTTGTTTGTGATATATATATATATAAATAAACTATGCACATCTGTAAATCCAATTTTTAGGTACACATTTGTGAAATAGTGTTTGCTAAAGTAGGACACATTTTACAATGTGGATTGATCGATGTGGGTAGACAAAATCTACCAGGTTCTACCTTTTGATAGGTGACCTAAAACATCAGTCTAAATAAGCACATCAGCATCTAAAAATAGGTAAATGGGAATTGAATAAATTTTGTTTTAAAAGAATAACTTTTAAAGAATAACACCAAATTTGACGCTACATTAGGATGTTACTGTGTCTCTGGGGTGCAGTAACCCCTAACAGCCACACGGGGGAGCCTGAAGGTTAAACATGCTAAGAGCTAGCTCACGCTGCTGCAGTAGCAGGTCTTATGAAAGCTTCCCCTCACACAAGGACAAACGAACAAAGAGATGCTGAAGCTGCTCTGTGTGCGTCTGAAAGCATGTGTGTTTGCGCATAATCTCTCACACCCACATTCTTTACCCCGGCATGTATGCAGGGCATTAGACCTCAATAGTGCATGACTGGTAGACAATAGCCCTGCTGACAGAAAACTGTTTGTTTGTTTAATGGACTTAAGGAATACAGACATCAACCAAGATGCAGTTTAACAGAGCTTTAACTAGCTTGTCTGAAAAAAAAAAATCAAACAAACAGACGTGGAGCTTTAACTAGCTTGTCTGAAAAAAATAAAATAAAAAAATCAAACAAACAAACAAAAAAAAAACACTGAAGTAATGTTTTCTGTGCAACCATCAACATAAACATCATCAATCTAAACAACAAGGCTCCAGCTGTCAGCTATGACAAAGATACATAAGCATTCTGTCAGCTATGACAAAGATACATAAGCGTTGTTCAAAGCTACTTTGTGGGAATTTAAACAATAATCTAATTAAGTGGAAGCTTTGTAGGCATTTTTACACAATAAGGATAATAAAATCAAGTTTTTTTTTTAAATTCACCTATTTTGGTTGACTACTGAATCAATAAATCTACCAAGTGAAATCAAACAATATTTATTTTCTTTCATTTTTCATCCGCCTACTCTGTTCATAGAGGAGTTCAAACTCACTGTTTCTCTACAGCTTTGAGACAAGAAAACAAATGCTCTATCTCCACCTATGGACTGGAGTGTGCATCAATGTTACTGGTGTGCAAGACATTGGACAGACTGGTGTGATTACATGCACCAATATTTGACTGCATTAATTTGTCTGCTACTAAGCAACATAAATGTCTGCACTAAAGATTGAGCTCGAGACAAACCTTAGCTTTAATTTGATTAAAAAATGGTTAAAACTGTTAAAACCATCAAATCATACATCTTTACCGAATTAACAAAATTGAAACACTAACTCTAACTCTTAACACTTAGTCAATAACAAGACGCTTCTTTAGATGGAATTCCTGTTTATGTTGGAGCTCACCTGGTGGATACCCAGGACTTCCCGTTTGATAGAGGTTGGGTGTATAGGTGGGAGCTGTGGTAGGATAGCCTCCTGGGTAGCCTGTGAGACATTGGAGAAAACAGGAAAAAAAAAATAGTCACACATCTAAACAGAGCACATTTTCACACAGGTTCAGAACAGGACGTGCACAGATGGAGCCACTAAAAAAAACATGTCTGCCCCAACTGCAGACTCGGCAGGATACGTCTCACATGTCATCTAACGCACCCACCAGGTTGTTAAGAGGTAGATAAATGCAGAAATTTTAGCGAGGCACTAAGACACATTAATACACACAAACAAAGTGTTGTATTGTGAGTCAGCATTTAGGCGCATAACAGCAGATTTTGACCTGAGAAAAATGATTCACAGTATAAAAAAAGGGATGAGATCAATAAGAAGTGGTGTATAAAAAAGGAGCAGAAACGAATGTGTTGCTCACTGTTATGGGCTGTCAGACAACTGCCTGTTAAATCCAGCTCTGTCTATAATCAAGAAAAGCTTCATGTATCTAGGTCAATATACAGCCTATATACAGTACAGTGCAGCTAAGACAGGATGGTAATAATAACTAAAATCTTAAAAAAGAATAAAGAGTTAAGAATTTTTGCAGGGAAGATAATTTGAGAATCTGCTCTTTTCTGTTGTTATCTATCATTAGAAATTCATACTGCTGTTTTTGCTCCCTACTGCTGGTCAGACAAAAACAGAAATCTGAAGACATCACCTTGGAAACAGGGAAACAGTGGTGAAAAAATACAAGCAATTTCAACAGCTACAATTGATATCTAAAACAGGACTTGTTGAATTCACACAGAAATTAACACAAACTTACATTACATGATAGAGTAACAGATGTTCTTGTCAGGTTTTATGGAAGAACAAATAGTCCATTGTGTGCAAAATGTTAAATAAAGGTTGGACAAAAGATAGTGTAACGTTAAACTTGAAGAAGTCTGATGTGGGCTCATTTACATGCTTAATAAAAGCCTGCTTCCTGTAAAGAAATCTGTCGACAACACCTGGGCGATGATCTCTGCAACACTGCACATCTGATGTGTTTTTTTTCTTTTACACATGGACTGGTTTACAGTTCTCCATGTTCAATAAAACAACTAGGATATTGTTTTCATAGTAATGCTGTATCCACAGATTTCTGTTTGAATTCAACTTAAACATTCATTCACACACTCACATAAACATTAACATTAGTAGTAGGCCAATTAAAAAAAAATCAATTAATAATTGCAGCCTATATGGATAACTATAAATAAATCACATTTTTATTCAAATAAATTGTTGACAAAATGAGCAACAATTTTCAAATGACTTTTTTCATTGCTGAACGATACACATAAGAGTGAACTTGAACAAAAAGTGTTTCACACACAAACATTTAAAAATATATGTATAAACATATCAATACAAATATAAGCAAACATGTATACACACACGTATATATATATATATATTCACATATGCATACACACATTTTATATTTGTACATACAAAAAGACTAGCTAGAGTTAACTTTGTGCAGGTAGCTGATCCTGAGACTAATTTAAATATTGACATTGACAAGACTTTTTTTATTTCCCATTATGATCGGGCTGGAGTTAAATAAGTCAGTCAACAAAAAATCAATATCTATATAGCTTTGTATTGTTTAAATGCATTTACATTAAGTGGTGAAAAAAAATCAATAAACATAGAATAGACCTTTTGTTAACGTTTGTCTGTCAAGATCATGCTGATCTTTAAACTGGGTCACACATACTGGGTGTCATGTTTACAAGCAGAAGTAAAGTGAACAGGGCACCACAGTAATCTCACTTTACTCCTCAAGCGTATTAAACAAAACACAGAGAAACTGGGGAAATGATCTCTTGCACCAGTTCAATTACGTGCCTTGTTGTATAAGAGGAAGTGTCTCGTGTGTCAAACATGTCAGAGTCAAATGTAAAGAGCTTGATGAAATTACTGTTGAGTTGACAATGTGAATAGGTTACACCCAAAGTGTCAACAAAACACAGACCAAAACATCAACTTCCCTTTTAACACATGCTGACGATCCTGAGCATATTCAGCTATCAAATGTGAACTATTCCTCATTTGTACTGTACAAAGTACTGTAGAAAGATATGCTTATGGCCTAATCTTGAACAATTGTCAACAGGGCTTTGGGCGGCCACTTTAATTTTATTATGATCATCCAACTAAAAAAAAAGTCAAAAGTCACAAGTAAATTTGTAGGCCAATCAACCATGTGGGGAAAAAAAACAATACCCTCCTATCGATGTATCTGTACTCCTCCTCTGACAGCTATAGTTAATCCATATAAACGGGCTAAATAACAGCATTTTACATTAAATCCATGCAGTGACATAACAATGTTGGCGTGAAATGTCTCATTTTACCTGTGAAGGTCATATTCTTGTGGTTTCCGTATGGGGTGCCAGGCTGCACAGGGCTGTAGACTGGATTCATCGTTGAAGATAATCTGTTCTTGCTGAGAGAGAAAAGCAGAGCGTAGGAGGGGACAGGGCCAAAATAAGAAAGGGACAAAAATAATAGGTAGATGCAAGACATATATATTAGCCAGAATATTTTTTGCACCCATTAGACATATAAACACAATAATCTCCAAGTCAGATTTAAAAGGCAAAGAAAGGCAGAAGGACGTTCCTTGCTTGCAACCACCAGCCTCATTAATGTTCTACTAAAAAAAAAGGCCCATTTTAACCAGGGTTTCAATGTGACATCGAATTCTGCTCGTCAACAGTTTCCAACCTGCCTTGTTTTCACCACTGCACCACCTGCACTCAAACCTGTGTAGGAATGAGTTTGTGTGTTTGTGTGTGCATGCGTGTCCCGTACCTCTTGTGCGTGTCTGGTTGATACATGAAACTGAATTTGTCTGTGGGATGCCCGCTCGCCATTCTTGCTGTATGCAAATGAGGAGGAAGGAGTGGGAGTGGATATGCAAATCTGAAATTAAAACAGCGAGAGGTCATGATTACAACGAAACACAGGAGAAAATAAAAACAAACAAAAAAAAAAAGCAAGCAATAGTGCAACAGCAAATGGTTAGTGGTAGCAGCAGGGGGTGGCAGTGATCAGGAGAGTGTGTCTGAGTGACTGAGTGTAAATTATAGCCATCAATAAATGTGAATGTGAAACTAGGTTTCATCCTGTTCAAAATTTTATCTGAATATTATTGAGCTTGGTCAAATCTTAGTAAAAGTTGCAAAATGAATCCTTTTCAAGATGCACTGTGATGTGGACACTAACAGGGATTTGATTCAGGGATGGGACATGAAAGATAATTTTAAAAATTCCAATAATTATATTAATATTTTTGAACAGTTAATGATGTGTATTTTCTAATTTATTTAGTTTGACAATTGGATGTATATGAAGAAATAGTAATAAACAACATTTTGTTCTAATAGCATAATTTAGCATACTCATTATTGAAGAAAATGTAGAACACCTAAAAACACTGTATATTTTTGGAACATGTTGCCAAGTGAAGGAAATCATAATTGGTCAAAATTGATGCCAATCATCTCTGCACAATGCATCAGGAGTTAGTCAGTAATTGGATTTCAAAGTGATTCCACTCAAATCTCTTCCCGCTTGATTTCAATTAGGCATGGATACATGGATTTATTAGCCATGGTAAGCATTGCCAGCTTTGTCTCAGTTGCAGTCTCTCAGCCTATTGTATGTATATAGTGTGATGTGCTTCATAAAAATAATGAATACAAGCAGCAAAGAACAAAGCAAAGATAGTATATGAAAGAGTGCAACACGCCCAGTGAGCAGCTGGGTGACAAAAAGAGCAGAACAAAGGAACAGCGGACAAAACAAGGTACTAAAAAAGCAGTGTCTTGCAGCGGGACATGAATGAGCAGGACCAAGTATAAATGAGCCAGAACCACGAGAGCTTTGCACAAACAGAGCCTCGCAGCCAAGAAATAAAAAGAGAAATGACGCGCGAATGTGTGCATGTGTGAATCTGAGTGTGTGCATGCATCAAACCCGACTCACTATAAATCACCTAGCCTGACTGTCCATACTACTGTTGACTGAGCCTCTGTTCCTTAAACTGTAATATAATATTTCCTAAAAGTTTCAGGGTTGAATCCAGGTTGAGCATAAACTAATTTCTCCAAAGCTACATGCTTTCAAAGAAACAAACAAACAAACACAAAATGTACAGTTCCTTACACAAAACCTTCAGATACCCCTTGTATGTGACATGTTGTGCATTCATTTAGTCCATTATGGGCTACAATCAAACCATGTGATCTAACAACTCTTAAAAGAAGATCAGCTCCTCATAAAGACAAAAACAAGTTCTTAGATAGTAAAAACCAATATTCAAAATTTGCAAAAAAGTGACTGTATAAGCATATATACATACAGTTATTTTATATACAAGTACTGTGCTACTAAACACAAACACAGGCACACACGTAATGATACACGTTAATACATTTCTGATGTCTTATATTCAAACATTTTCTCTTTCCATATCAAGGTTAAAGCCAGTAATTTACAATTTTTCTGCAACCCCCTACTGTTTTATTTAAAAGACAATTCTAACAAAACAATTCTTTCAACATAGGAAATAAAATTGTATAAGTGAAGTTCTAACTTTGTTTTAGGCATTACTAAACACTACTGCAAACTATTCATGAGGGTAAGAGCAGAATCTTTTTTTTGAAAAACAACCCTTTGTAACAAACCCTAATAACTGTAGATTTTTTTCCATTTCACACTTTTTAATGATTGTTCCCAGTAACAAATCAGCCGTGACATTTACTGAAACAGGAAATTTTGTCTCAAAGGAGAGGAGGAGAAAAACAAGAAAATGTTTAAAAATAATTACCACTGCACTTGTTCCGTACAACCTCCTAATGCACTTGTAAATTTTTATTTGAATTAAGTTTAAATGTGTAAACTAATGTGTTTCACACCACTGTGTGGTGTGAAAGACACAATAGGCATTACCACAAACAAGCCACTCAAGCCACCCTTAGGTTAAGGGTCTCAACCTCCAAATACTCATTATATATCCAATTACTGCTGTGAATGAATAGACATGTTCATTATATGTGTGTGTGTGTGTGTGTGAGAGAGAGAGAGAGAGAGAGTGAGACAAAGGTGTTGGAAATTTAAGGTGAGAACAAGGCAGCACAACATGTCTAACAAGTGTGTGTGAAAAAGAAATAGAAGGAAACGCGAGACAACAGAAAAGCCAGAAGTAGGAGTGTCCAATTAAACATGTCTTTGTTTTAGGTGTAGGTGGGGTGCAAGATGCTTTATGTACATCAGGATGTCAGTCAATGATGTGTTACTTGCTCACACTATTTTAAACCTGACAATGATGTCTCAAGCCCAGAATCCCATTTTTGCAAACTGAAAACTGAAATAATAACCTATTACACCAATTTGCATCTGTTTATGTTTATGATGTGCATGATGCATGTGGATGATGCATATGCAGAAAAACCCTCAGCTACTCAGTAGGAAAGTACAAAATAACAGACACAGTAAGTGAGTTTTTGCCTTAAATTTAGAAAAGTACCAGGAACTCCTTAGCTGCCGTGTTGTTGAGTGCAGACAGAAAGAGGCAGCTGCTACACAGCTAAAAGTGCTGATGAGGATGACATGGTGTCCTCTGGACAGAGTGCAGTGAAGCACATAAATGAGCACAGTGATCCGGTAGTGTTCTGTCTACAACAGTAATATAGATATTGGGCGAAATGCACAAGTTGTTAAGCATTACTATTGTACTTCAGTTTGTGACACACACAATTATTATCTTACTTCTGTTCAGTACACGCAGCGTTGAGTGAATGAATGCATGATGTTGTATTTCTCCCAGCACACTGAATCCAAACAACCATTTTCAGCACAATGAAAGAAAATTGTGAAAAATAACAAAATGAATCTAATAACATAACAAAGGCATTTCTGCACACCACCTAATAACATAACAAAGGCATTTCTGCAGTAAGTAAGTAAGACCACGTTCTGTAATCACCTCTTACACTGAAATACATTTCCTTAACCAAAATAATTTTATTTTCAATTAATTGAATTTTATGCCTTTGTTCTGATGATATGACATTGCACTTTTATTGTGAAAATGCCCTATAAATCACTTTACACAAATTTCAGCTGAGCTGGATCCACATGTATCCCATGTGGCTACTGCACTCATGAAAAGATGTAACGAAGTTCTGTCAGCCATCATTCCTCTAGAGTCAAATGGCCACAGGCAACAAAAGTCCAAAGTGTGGTATATTATGCCATTCACTGCATGTGCCATATTAAACACAATCAGATCACTGTTTCTTGACCACTTAGAAAATGCAACCTTGCTGTAATTTGATCCTTCTGCCTTGGTACAAACCATACTTCAATGAGAACAGGGAATGGTGCTGTGCAGCAGCCCCTCCATCAGTGAAAGGACAGGTGTTCACGCAGGCTGTGGAACCAAAGATCAAATGCATGTAATGTCAAGCACCTTCACTTATCTGCTAGTAGTTTATCTCTCAGCAGGGTGCAAAAATCAAAGCAATAACTGAATCCCTTAACAGCCTTGAATTCTGGCTAAAGAAACAAGCCCTTCTCACTCTGTCACTGAGTGCCTGACCGCCATGATGAAAGGGAAAGACATTTATCAGAAAATTGGATTTACACTGAAAACGGGTGCTGCTGCAAACACAAAATGCTGCCGATGTGATATGCTATATTGGTAAAACGTGGGTCCTGGCAATATGTCCAAGTTTTTACAATAATATATACTATACATTTTATATGCAATATAAAATCTGACCATATTGTTTATATCAATATGTACTTTTGCCCTAAGAAAAGGTTCATAAACCTGCCACTTTGCCTCTTTCTGATTGTTTCCTTTTCTGTCTTCAATTTCCCTCTGCCTTACTCCCTCTCCCTACTTGTCATACCCCTCACACTGAGCACGATGATGCAGCTCAATGCGCTTCCAATTAACAGATAAGTAGGAAACATTTGATAAAAAATACTTGCGGCTTGGTTATTTGTTGGTGGTTTTGGTTTGTAGTGTTAGATGAGCTGCAAAGTAATGTCTTCTGTTGAGAATGCTGGAAACCAGTTCAAACCCAAAAGTTCATGGAACTTCAAGTGTTTTCCATCACTTGCAACAGCATGGGGGACGCGCAAAGTGTGTGTTTGTGAGATGATTGGGAGATCAATTGAGCAACAGTGTGACTGGCAACTGAGAGCACACTTGACATTGGCTCTCCTCAATACAGTAGGTGGCATTACAACTTGAATTATGTAGTTCTTGTGTTTTTTTTATAGCAATATAGTAAATTGTTTACTGTTAACATCTAGCATGTGCATTTCCTTGAAATACATTTTTTTGGGAATATGTGACTGCTATATTTTGTTACCAGCGAGACTATTACACACTGACTGAATTGGAATTATTTCTAAGAACTCTGCTAATCTCTGCAACTGTGCAATGAGAGGTTATTGAATTGAAGCGTATGCCTTCAGGCTACCACAGTAAAACAAACAGTAGCTCCCTAACCACTTTGAAGATTATGTACATGTTTTAAATGCCTATAAATACAGTATAGTTCAAGACCATAACACAGGTTTTATTTCATAAAGGGAGATTCCAGCACCCTGGGGGGAGGATGAAGAGGTATTAATGAGGAAGGTGGAGAAAAGGATTGAATTAAACCACATACCCCCCCCCCCCACCCCACACACACAGAGTTCCGGAAAACCATGTATAATACCACACAACCCCCACATTGACTTCATCCTCCCACATAATGCCTCAGCAGGCGTTTACACTTTAGGCAACTAATCAAAAACTGGTAGGTGTTTCCACACTAGAGCACAAAAGAGAATAGAACCAACATTATTAAGTGTTCCCCAAATTGTATGAAAGTATAGTGACAGTATAAATACACAAAAATGCATAAATCATATAACTGCCTTACAGCTGCATGCCTGTGTGTTCCTGGGAAAGACACTTGGGCCTAAGATTCTTATCATTATGACAGCAGAGGAACTGACATCCTGTGCTCAGAAGCCGTAAAAAAAAAAAAAACTACCCAAGACATTAGAAAAATTCACTCACATTTTCTCTAGGTTATCTGAAAGAGTACTATAAATGTGTTCCAAATATTCACTTGGTACATGTGCCCAAACGTCTGGTACTGATAGAACACTAATATCAAGCACTACCTTAGAAGTATCTGTGAACAAAGTCATAGCAGACAACCAAATACAAGTTCAAGACCTGGGGCAATATTAAACGGCTGCGTGATGGAATCATAAATCCCTGCTCTGACTTGCACACATTCAGACCTGACCCAGAGCAATAAGCTTCAAACCCCCCAGGCTATTTAAGATCTAGGACACCGTCTCTCTCTCTCTCTCTGCTTTCTTCATCCTCCTCTTCCAGCTTCTCGTTCAAATCTTCTATTCTTCTTTTCTAAAACCCATCTCATCAGTCACACACCTCTTGGGTCTGGATCCCTGGATTGCAGGACAATACAATACTGGAAATCTAGTCTCAAAGTCTATAGTGGTGCTCCCTGCAAGTAAGGCTCTGACATTCATTTCACACAGGACAAGAAAATGTTGGATGGATGGCAACTGACTGACTGAACAGTTTCATTAAAAAAAGAATAGAAACACTTAATAATAGAAATTACTTATGCATTAAAAAGTACTAAAATAAATAAGCTGCAGAGGCAGCTCATACACACAAAAACACATACAGACAAATAAACACATGACAAGACTGCTTTATGACCATGGAGAGAGCAGTTAAACTGATGATAAACAATCAATAGCAGGAGAAAGTATTAACAGCAGACAGACATTATTGCCTGGGGTGAGGTGGGCGACAAAAATGGGAGGAGAGGGAGGAAAAAAAGACCATAATACCGTACTTAAAATAGAAACCACAATTACACCGAAGGAGTAGAGGAGAGCGTAGTGGAAATGATGCACTTCTAATTGCTTCATTCATTCATTTTAAAAGTTAAAATCTTTAGCCCATTCTTAGCCCATTAAGTCACGTCCTATTTATTGCATTTCTATCAAGGCTATGGTCTCAGTGGTGGAACTAGATAAAATTAATTTGTGGATTCAATACTACTACCTCCAGTCCTACCACTATTAATAATGATCTGATCACTTCAGATGCTTAAATGCAAACCTAGCACCAGAACAGGATTTAACAACTGTGAGCTATTTTCCCCAAAATACAGAAATAACTGAATAAAGATTCAGTATATTACTGGTAAGATACAAATTTAACTGTCCTGTTCAACAGGAAATGTGCAGAACATAATATACCTGTAGCATTTGAAAATGAAAAGCTACAACAAATATGCATTCCTCAGTTACAGTTGTTCAAATCAATAAATGATTCCAAGTTACTGTATATTTAAATGATGTACAATGAAAAATGTGGGCGATAAAATAGACGTTTATCAGATAACAATAATATTTCTAAAATAACCATCTACCAGGTTTCACTAAAATACACATGAATAATGAAAACAGATTCCAAGAGGTATTCACCTATACCAATAGGAATGAGAATCAAGACTGTACTTTTACTACACTGCTGTATTTTTTCTATAGGCCTCAACAAACACCACATTGATGATCGAACTGAGGGACATGTGGTGGGCCAAGATAAACGACGAGAAGGTGAACATGGAAGACACCATCTGCAAGTGTTTTGTTCGCGGATCCATGATGAGCAGCTCATTAAGTTGGTCAAACCACATGGGAATGAATTGCGGGGGAACAGACAGTCTGTTAGTGAACCGCTGACTTCTCTAACATTAAGTGACTCCAGCCTTCTTCAGTGTGACAGTTTTATGGTTTGCATTGTACTGCCAACCATTAATACACATGAAATTGCTCTCAACACACGCCAAAGCCACTGCTCCTCCTCTTTCCGGGGTGGTGGTGGCCTAGTGGTAAAGGAAGCGGACTTCGGTCCGGAAGGCCCCAGGTTCGAATCCACCAACTGCCAGGTTACCACTGAGATGCACTGAGCATGGCATCGTCCTCAAGCACTGGGCGCTGACCACAGATATAGAGCCACTATATTAAGGGATGCACAATAATTATTGACCCGAGGAAATGATGGCGTCATTTGGAAAAGTCTGATATTATAACAAAAAACCTTGCTAATATATGATTATAATTTTTTGTCAGCACTGAAGTGTGGAAGTTCTTTATTCAGGCACTCTAAGGCCGAGTCCAAGTGCTATCGATTTAATTGGAAAAAACAAAATCGCAAAAATGATGGTAATTGATGACTTGATATCAACATCTTATCTAGAGCATTATACCCATTATACCATAGACATGTGAACATAAAAAGGTCGCAAAAAACGTCTTTCAAACTGGGAAGGGAAACTTCTGTCACCATGTAACTGTGGACAATGCTACCAAGGACTGCACATTATGCTGCAAAGATTAATTACAAATAAACATAAAGACTAGCAGTCTAGTAGCGATTAGTCGATTTTCAGCCGAAATTTCAAGGCTTCAGTGACCAAGACATTCTTTGGTTGATTAAAGCCCTACTTTCCACTGTTATAGATTTTGACTGACCTAATTGGTTGCAAATCCTCCAGTAAGATGTGTACATTTTTGGTTTAAAGCATGGAAAGCTACGTGGAAGCTAGCTCAGAATTGTAAGCTTTGACAATTAACTTAAAGATTCAGAGTGAAGAGCTTTTATTGTTTCTTTAACTTTTGAGAACGTGACATGTTTTTCATACTCTTTCCTTTACTCAACTAACAGGCTAAATATGCCAAATATGGATTACATGGATAAAGAGATGATTGGGGAACTGATCCTACTCAATTTAAGGTCAATTTCTATTGCAGCAGTGTTGTCTTCTGTTTTACATATATTTTGAAAACATTTTGCACCCTTCAGGTAGAGGGAAGCTAAAGAAAAGTTGTTAAGCTGCAATGCAGGAAACTATTTGACAAGGTGCACCATAAACCTTCAGTTGAGAATCTACTTCTGCTCACTTTTAGTTTTAAGTCACTCATTTCTGTTACCTTGTTAAAAGATTTAAAGTAAATTTTCCACTCCCAATAAAGACAAAATGAATAAAAAGCCATTTATGTGACAAAATGTTGCTGGAATTAACTGGGATTTAATTCCCATTTAAACCCATTTAGGGCTTTCTAAACCAAACCCTGTTCATAAATACAATGACAAAGAGGATATTTGTCTGACTGACAAGACTAGCTAAAAAGACAAAAAAAAAGACTGTGTGCAAAGCCACCTTTTTATATAACTTCGTTTTTTATAATAGTGCATGTCACCCACAGTCCTAACACATTTTAAGGTTTAATTTTTTTCTGTAGTATTTAGAATGTGTGCTACAATATTTTTCTGAAATATATTTAAATGAGAATTGAACTTTACAATAGAGCAGAAAACAAAAACAATACAAAAGATGTAGAGGAGATATATTTACAATATCCAAGAGGTACCGATTTTTAATGTGTAAAAGAAATTTTATTCTATGCATCACAGTTTAAACATAAACAAAATCTATCTTTGCGTAAAATACGCATACTTTTTGCCAATGCAAACATTTGATTGAGTTGGCTTCATATTATTTTATCTAAATTTCAATTCTCTAAATTGTGAGTATTAATGATTTAAAACGATGTTTGTTATTTATGTAGTTTTTTTCTTATGCCTAAAACTTTTGCACGTCATTTAAATAAATAAAGACGCATATCAAAAACCGAGGCGTTTTTGTATCCCTACTATAAGTGCGGTCTTGATTCAGGCCTGTTCTGCACAATTCTGTTGAATTGCACCTTCAGGTCGCACTCAAATAACATGTTTGCACCAACTGCCGTCGCTGCAATAGGCAGTTGTTCTTTTGTTGTTCCTGTCGTAGCCTGCAGTATACTGCAAAGGGTGCACGCATTTGTGTTTTTCACTACAACGCTGATGGATATGTAGTTACGTTCGACGGCATGCACTGCATTCCACCGAGTAGTCTGTGGAAGCCAAAACAGCCATAGCTGGACAGAAATGGTCACACTCAAACAAGCTTTAAGACACCATTTTGAAAATCCACGAATTCTAGATAACAACATCGAGATGCCATCTTGCCAATTATGGCAATATTAGCAGCATGCTAGCGTCACGCAATTCAAACCATTCCGCCGCAAGAATCCGTGTGGGTCACACAATACTAATGTTAGCACAAGTCTTGTGTTAGCCTGAAAGGACGAGTGCTAACCCGCCGTAGCATCCCCGCATCTCTCGCACTGTGTAAGTCTCTCTGTCTCCACACGCTTCTGCTCTAATGGCTAATTAGCTTGTTAGCTCGGGCGCACGCAGCAATGACAATAAAAAACACACGCACTAAGTAACAGTGGAGCCCTGCGGCACACCAGCCGCTAATATCTACCATCAAGCTATAGAACATTATTGTTAAAAGAATAACCGAACTCGTCCTTACAACCATTTACATTCCGCTATTTAAACTAGCATATTTAGCCTAGCCCGCTAGTTCCCGACTCCATCTACCGACAACACAACGGAGGACAATTGAAAGGATACGGAGAGGGAAGAAAGGGTTGAAAAAAGTCTGCACATAAAAAGAAAAATGTTGTTAACAATAAAAAGCCTATAAGACTCACCAAAGTCTTGACGAAACAAAGGGGGAAAACAACCGCTTTCCTCTGTGTATAGGTGCTCTCTCCTGTGTGACTGCCTCAGCTCAGGTCGGTTCAGACTAGCTCTGCTACAGCAGTGTTTAGTCGGGGCTAGTGGCGATGGGAAGACAGCTTTCACCCGGAGAGACGGAGAGAGGGACGGCCACTGTGTGGGGGATGGGGATGATGCACAGGCAGGAGGGAGGGAGAGAGGGGCAGAGGGAGGAGGGAGGGAGAAGGACAGAGGGATGCAGGGATGCAGAGAGAGAGGGCCCGGTTTTCATAACAACAACAATAATAATAATAATAATAACATAATTGTTTTAGTTCTACGTCAATAATAAAATGTTTATGACCAGTGTAAGTTAACAAGAGGACATGTGAGGTAACATCTGATCACCACTACAATGTAGCTATTACTACTTGATTTTTAGATTAGTTTGTTACTTAATAATAAAAATAAAGTTAATATTATAATGATGGTGATGATGATTATTATAATGAGTAGAACTTGTGGTATTGTAGCAGTAAAAGTAGCAATAACATTAATATAAGAAGACGTAGTAGGGGTCATTAACTAGTCATTTTTATTCATTGCAACAACAACAAAAAATGCATCGGATGTGCCGCATAAAACCCTATTTACAAACTATTTTTGTTCAAACACACCTTATGGAGATAATTACGATGTTATACCTGCACAATTAATGTATCCAATGGAGAAAACATATCTAGACGTATAAATATTATTGTGACAGGGTATGTGACAGGGTATGCAGAATACGAAGTTTTTTAATCTTTCAATATTTTTCCCCCTAATCCACACACCACGAGAATTACTCACAGTAAATTTACGCCATCGTGTGGTATTAAAGTATATTGTACATTCATATTTTTACTTTATGGGTGTATTTATTTGAATATTTGTAAAAAAGAAACAAACAAACAAACATTATGTAGAAAATAAAAACAATTTTAGCTAATATAGTTAGATAGTTAATTTCTTCTGTACTGATAATAGCCGTCAATGACGGAGAACTATAATTCCCGGTAGCCCTTGCGCCTACTTATGACGTAAACAAAGGTAGCTGGCTACGTCGGTTCAATTCGAGAGGGCTTGACGAAGAGACGGTAGAAAAGAAATCCAACTAAAACTCGACCAAACCGCACTGTGACGATGTTAACCACACGAGATAGCGCAAAAACCAGGAAGGGTAAAACCCTCGCGTGATTTCCAGCTTCCGGAAGTTGCATTCATTCATCGTATAAGAAGAGCTGTCCGAGGTGCTGACATTGTGAGTATCGCTTTTATTTGATTCATTACCACTAGCCGGTGCACAGTTTTTCTAATTGCAATAGAATAGTTGGCAAACGTAAAAGGTACTTTTTGTAAGCTCTTCTACGGATTTTATGTAAATGCTCACTACTTTTCTGATTAAAATCAGTGTGGCAGACATTAAATTATGTGTTTTAAAAAATGTTTTCAGTGATAATATGTTAGGTTCCTGATAATCTGAAGTTGTGTGACATTGATACATGGATTTTCACTACGACCACTGTCTTCATTAAATTGGCTACAGTTACTATTACCGAGGAACATATCTGGCCTGGCTTTATTTTGTAAATCATTTTGACCATTTTGTACTTTTTGTAATTTTGTCAGAATAAGGGAAGATGGACGAAAATCAAGAGTCATCCACTTGCATCACCAACTGCAAAATCCACACCCTTTCCAACAGTCAACCTGGCATCGTTCCACAACAAAACGGGGCCCCAGAGCACCGGACCCTGCTACGGGTTTCTGAGTCCCATGGACTGCAGCTCCTCAGCATGCTCAGGTCATTGAGGGATCGAGGTTTGTTGTTTGACTTCACCATTAAGGTCCAGGATCGCAGTTTTGCATGCCATCGTTGTGTCCTGGCAGCTTGCAGTGATTTCTTCAGGTATCTGTCTAACTAACTATCTATCTAACCTGTCTTTCATTTCGTTTGTCTATGTATCTGTATATATAATATAACAATAACAGATGTCTTGTCTGTGTCTAGGGCTATGTTCGAGGTAGACATGAAAGAACGTGATGATGGGTCAGTCACTCTAAATGACCAGTGTCCAGTGGCAGTTGGTTCTTTTCTGGACTTTGCGTACTCTGGAGAGTGCCTCATTACAGACAGTAACATAGACATGTTGTTTCAGCTTGCTTCCTTCCTGCAGGTATAACTTTAATTAACTGGAAGCACACGCATGTGGTAGCAAACACTCTGTCTCTGTATGTTAATATTTCTAAGTTTTTAATTGGTTCAAAATCTAAAATGTTATGGAAGGTTTGAAAGCATGAAATATTAGAAGTAATGAAGCAATGTCAATTACCTGGTGTAATATGTACGGCATATAAACATGTGAACTGTTTATGGACCAGTTCTACTGTTTCTGTCTGCTCAGGTAGCAGTACTTTCCAGAGCCTGCAGTGACTTTCTGATAGGAACCATGGATCTATGTAACTGTCTGTCTCTCCTGTCTCTCGCTGAGGCCTATGGCTCAGCATCTCTTCTACGAAGTGCCAAAGAATTTGTGGTTCAGAATTTCTCTGAGCTTTCCAAAACTCAAGACTTCTTAGATATGCAGGTATTTCTGTAAAACAACAAAAACTGCTTGATTCATACATATACTGTATACTGTATATACTGTATCCATTTTTTTTTCTTTTTTCAGATAAATGTCCTGGAGATATGCTTGCGTTCTGATGCCCTAAATGTGCCAAGTGAAGAAGCGGTGGTGATGTCAGTCCTTAGATGGGTAAGGTACGATATCCCAGAAAGAAAGAAGTTGTTACCGGGACTATTATCCCTGACCAGACTCCATCATCTGCCTGCCCCTGACCTGAAGGTACAGTATGATCACTTACTTAATTCAGATTGAATGCAGTTTGCAGTTTTGTGTTTATCTTGCTGTCTTGCCTTCACATTCAGACACTGCAGAGTTCAGACACACTCCTTTGCAATGATGAGCCCTGCCTCACCCTGCTGTCCGATGCCCAAATCAGACACAACCAGTACAATGGTCTCCTCACTGACGCCAGACCTGCAACAACACAGAGCTACATTTACATCCATAAGACAGAGGAAAATGGTGAAATCCGCCACACTTTCTGCTACTGTCTGGAAACAGACCAATGGAAAGAGTTGCCAGCGGGAGATGGGACAGACGGATCGACCACATTTCCAGACCCGCCCGGATCATATCTGACCAGCTTTGCAGAGAAGGTTGATTTTTACAATTTGAATGTGTCCAATGTTAACAAATTCAACCTAGCTTTAACATTTTCAACATAAATGCAGCAGACTGGGCTTCTCTTTAGAAATGGATGCGTATCTATGTAGCAACAATACGTAGCTACATAGTACGATATGTTTCTATCATGGATGCGTATCTATGTAGCAACAATAGCTACATAGTATGATATGTTTCTATTATTATTGGTTAAAAAGCAACCTTAAACAATCACACGGCCTTAACAACCATTACCGTAGGAGCTAATGGTTTATTTAAAGTTAAGACAGTCCAGTCATTGCAATTTAGCCTTAGCCCTGCACGCACCTAAAGCACACCTTGTTTTTTATTAATATACACGTCCTGTTTTCCCACCCTCTCCACTTTAGATGTTTGTCACGGGTGGTTGTCGTGGAAACTGTTGCAGAGCAATTCGTCTGCATGTGGCAGAACCGATCCATGATGCCTCTGATGAAGTTTGGTGCTTCTGTCCCGTGACTCTAACCTGCTCCCCTGCACCAGCCTTGCTGAAGCCTCGCACCATGCACACCGCTGTGACCTGCCTGGACAGAGTGTACGTTATAGGAGGGCGGACGAAGGGAACCAGAGAGGGTGCTCCCCATTTGCTGGAGGTGACTCAAATATCCTTACAGTTATATTCATGGCAAAAGTAATTCTTTTACCATAACAAATATATGTTCTTTTGTTTTAGGTTGAGTATTACAACCCTCTGACTCAGACCTGGTCCTCAGTCAGCCCACTACCAACTGCCATCTTCTATCCTGAGGCCAGTGCCTGTGACACCGTTATTTACACTCTTGGTTCAGAGGTAGAAATAACGGACTCCTTCAACCCCTCACTGGACTGTTTCCTCTGCTACGACACCCAGCACGACCAATGGAGCCGCCTGGTGGCAGAGTTTGGTCAATTCTTCCATGCCACACTGGTCAAAGCGGTGTCAATTCACAATACACTGCACCTCTGTGACCTTTCCACATACAAGGTGGGTCGTTTAATGGGTACTGTGACTGCACAATACTCTGAGAGTGTTATCTATTTATATATACATTAACATTTTAAACTGTTTCCCCATCTAGGTTTACAGTTTTTGTCCTGATACCTGTGTGTGGAAAGGACAGGGGTCGTTTGAGTGTGCTGGCTTCAACGCAGGTGCTGTTGGTATGAGAGACAGAATCTACATCCTGGGTGGGGATTACTCTCCTGATGAGATTACTGATGAGGTTCAGGTATGGCAGAGACTTTTTTTTTCCAATTTGACCATATAACTAAATAATTGCCCAAACACTGAAGAATAATCTTTTACCCTCTTTGTCTCCCGGTCACCTGTGCAGGTGTTCTACAGTGGGAGGAGCCAATGGGAGGAAGTGGCACCCATGCCCAGAGCACTCACTGAGTTTCACTGCCAGCTCATCAGCTTTAACAGATATAGAGACCCATGGTGTGACCTGGTAGAAACACAGTAGTGACACAGTCATGTTTGACTGCACATCACATCCATGAGTGGATGTGCATGTGTAACAATAAGCAACGCACCGGGATGACTCTGTCCTGCCTGTAAACCCTACATGCATGTTGGACATCTCACAGCAACTACACAGAATAACAGTAAAGAAGAGTCTTGGCTCCACATCGCTTTTCTTACAAATCAACGCAAGACAAGAACAAGAAATTATTTTTATGTGTATATTTATTTATTTACAAACTCACAAATACAATGGAGATCGTATTTGTGAAGCCCTTTTGGTTGAATGGTCTTAATATTGTTTCTCCCATGGAGGAAATCTGATGAGCATGAGGATATACCAGAGACCTTCTTTTGGGAACTTATTATTTTTATTATTATTATTAGACTTTATAAAAGAAAATTGACTCAATGTAATTCAGATACTTACCTTACTCAGTGGCAACAACGTTATTGATCAATATTACACTGTAATTTAACTTACCTCCACCCGCATTCTTGTCACTCGATGCTAACCGGCGAAGCAGCATGAACGGTGAGCATCGACACAAACAGCTTTCAATGATTTTTGGACAAAAACTAAAAATGAAGCTGAGCCTAAGGTGCAACCAAATGTCTGCTGTAATCGCGATGTGTCAAAGTGTTGCTGAATAAATACTGCTAAAAGGAGGATGGTGTTGTACGACTTGTGTTATATTAATAATTTGAAATTGAATTGAATTTCTTTGCATATTGTAATGTCCACTAGTGCAGCCAATTCATTTATATTAGTTAGAATAAAAAAAACTTGGCTGATGACATTAAGGCTCCAGACCAGATTAGAACTTTTTACATCTTAAATGTAAAACTTAAATGTGTTTGGGGCAATAATGTGAAATACGTGACTCCTCATTTCTTCAGTTGTTCTCAAGCTTGTGAATTGTATGCAGGAAAAACGGCTATAAACCAATGTTAAGGTTGCTTAACTATGACGATAAAACAGGTTTCAGGGCGCAGCGCAGGGGTTTCTAGGTAGAAAGAAAGCATTAATCCAACAAAAGACGGGTGATTTATTGTCAAGTTGTCAACATACAGTAGTAATGAAAATCCTTATTGTTTCAGTGGATGTCTTGGTTTGTGAGTGGGTATAGTACCAGTGGTGGACAGTGTTGAACAATCAGACAGAGACACAGAACAAAGTCAAAGATAAGTAAAACATGCATGATGACATGTGTGACACCAACATTCATTTTGTGTCAATTGAAAAATGGTTTCTAGAGACTGGTATTTTTTCCTTCACTTTTCCAATTACACAGCACAACAGCTTCACTTTCTGACATTTGCCTGAATACGACGGCCACATCGTGATGGGCATCAGAATACAAGCAGATCTGAGACAAATCCTTCTGCCCGCGTCGTATAAATACCAAATCTCTGCTTCAGACAAAGTGAGCACAGCTTAAAATATCAAAAAAGATCTAAACATGTTGTCTGCACAAAGTCCCATAGTATCCAGTCTGGCTGCGGTCCACACCTCCATCTCCAAACGCCCTCTGCTTCTCCTCCATCTTCTTACTTCTGCCGATTCATTCCTGGTAAGCCCTCACTAACAGCCACATCAGCAGCACGGTGATTAAGACGATCATGAAGTTGAGGAAGAGCTCCTGCGCCGAACGATCCATCGCGGCGTGAGGATTGAGGTTGGAGACGCGACTGGTCAGGAGCAGAGTAGCAACCTCCCGAAAAGTTGTGGAATGCTGGAGACGTGTGAGAAATCGTAAATAGGTGTGGCTCCTTCTGTGGAAGCTGATATAGATGACCTGAGAAAGAGCAAGGTTATATTTCAGTGAGAAATAAAGAAAATAAGCCATAAGCCATTAAAATAAACATGACGTAGAGGTGACAATTGTCATCACTCAAATGAAGAAATCAAAATATTACGTATCACACCCTTATATATATATATATATATATATATATTTAAATATACACAAGCACAATACTATAATAACAACATTTAAAGATTTAAAAATACAAAATCTGCATGTCACACTCTACACAAACTTGATCTCTTTACAAATGTCAAACATTCCTAGCAGCAAAAACTCCAAAAAAGTTTGGTCCTGGTCTTACGTTGCCTCTCTGGATCCTGACTGTACCAGGAGTAGGGCAGAACAGCAGTAGTTTCTGCTGCTTTCTTCAAGTGGCCTCGTCTTGCCTTCTTGCTGGAAACTTCTCTGTTGTGTTATGTCCCCGCTCCAGCATCTGGTGCCAGCTGATCCTTTTGTTGTCCAGCTCTCTGTGGTCATCGAGGGCAGGGCCTGCTCCTAAAGTAGCCACCCTCAGTGTACCGCCCATGGTCCACATACACACAGAGTGATGTCACACGCCAACTAAACGACCAATAGAGTGTGTTATTTTCCACAATCTCCTCCACTGGAGCGTTTCCCATCTAAAGCCACGTCCAGTTGCTCCCTTTCTCTCTTTCTCTCTGGGTTATTTTTAAAACAATATTGCGAATAGTAGTTGGATTAAAGCTGCTCACGTGGTTAAGCAAAGCTGTAAGAGTATCAGTCTGTATCTGGGGAGTACGGATAGAGCAGAGAGGCATAGGAGAACAACAGGGCTTCAACCTTGGTAAAATGTACAACATGAGGCACGTAGGTTTCGACCAGCTGATCCCTCGGCTCATCATGTGCTGTCACTGTCACTAATGGGTCACTCGGTACATCATTAAAACACAAGGTATCCAGTAGTGCGTTCCACCGGCTCTGCATTTATTTCAATGTATTTATCTGCCTGTTTACAACAACTGCCAGTCTCTGAGGGTAATTAAAGGATTTTCTTTGACCTGACTGATGGATGAACAAACTCATCCAGCTGAGGTCAGTCATAAACCTGCTCCCAGGAGAATTTCATTTGAATTGGAATTTTTGTGTTGAATGGAACAAGCCATGTGATTCACTGACTTCAGTTTAGAACTTGATTATCTGATTCCAACTACATCTCTTAAATAGAAACATTTTTTCTTTGCGTTTTCAATGCATAGTTGTGGTTTTACGGAGGTCACCATCATGAGCTAATATACTGTGATTTAAAGTAGGTGCTCACAACATTAACAACATCAAAAACAGACAAGTTTCCCACATATAGTCTATCTTTGTAAGTAGCTGTGATTGGAAAAAATATATATAGAATTTTGCCTGCCCGATAAAGTTCTCTGGATCTGACTCACTTGACCTTTAACCCCAAAGAACTCCCGGTGTCTGGGCCAACACAAACAGCTGTTTAAAATTGTGCCATACGAACGTAAAAGTGGTCAAACCTTTGGAGTGACCTTAACGGAACAAGTCCGTATTGTTCGCAGAGATCGTTTGCCATTTATAGATAAAATTCTCCTCCTTCAGCTGCTGCTAAGGAAGGGGATTTGACGTTGACCTTCTCAGCTCATCTCTCACTTGACAGCTGTTTGAGCAGTGCTCTCTCCAAAGCGGTGTTAACTCCCTCGACACAACACCTTTGCCTGAACATGCAAGCGGGGTCACTGCGGGACAGAGTGTGCATGAGCATGACTACCTTGAACCTCTCGATTGGCACATACCAAGGTCATTCACAGGGGATTAGGTAGATCAAAACGCCTGCCATTTTATCACCTCTGTCACCCCACTGTACCATGAGACCATAAGCTATTTTACTCAGGGAATCCCATTGTCACACAGATCAGAGGGGCGGGGGGGGGGGAGGGTGAATAAAAACAAGGTAAGATCCATAGATCTTCCATGGCTGAACTGTGGCCCACTGTAACTAGTGTGTGTGTGTGTGTGTGTGTGTGTGTGCGTGCATGGAGATAGGACTGTTAGGGTTACCCTCCTAATCACAGAAGAGACAACAGAGTGACAACAGCGCATCAGAGGCACCATTCCCAAAATTCTCCCGCTCACTCACTATGTATGTGTGTGTGTACGTGCGTGTTTGCATGTATCAAGTGTTTATTAGCAAGTGCAAACTATTTTGGTGCAGCCAGCTTCAAATGTGTCTGGTTCTTACATATCTTGAAGACATACAGTTGGCAAGTTAGCAGGATGTAACAGAGTTTATTCAGGAATGTTGCGGAGGGTTAAGTTTATCATCAGAGGTCTCTTTTTCCAGGTAAAGGTGTGGGACATGAGGGAGTGTGTGGCGAGTGGCAGGAATTCACAGAAGCTGGTGAGTCCAATCAAGTGAGGAAGCGCCGTATTTAAAAGTAAACACACAATGGCCATCTCAAAAGGTGCAGGCAGTGGCCATCTCAAAGGTGCTGGAAGAAAGGAACATAAGACAAACTGAGAGTTTCCATCAAGACCAAACTTCACCACATGAGCATGGCAAACGTCTCTGGCACTGATTCCTGGGGGGCTAATACCCTGATTTGGACCAGCCCTCAGGCTTGCTGCTTGTCAGTCCTGGAATCAGTGCAGCTGAAAACACAGGCTGATACTTGTGCTCACAAGCATGCTCACCCCATTCACCACAGTGCACAAGCACAAACAAAACTAAAACCCCACACTTGTGACAGAGGCTAAGAGAAGGTTAACCCAGCTAAATATAAATTCAAGACAGAAATACAGATAATTCTTGTGTTAACAGTAGAGCTGCTGCAACAGGCTACCTCTTGCAGGCACCAAGTACATGGTTCCTCTGGGAATGGAACCCAGGACTACCTGCACTCTGTTTCCAAGGCAGACGTGCTAAATGCTACACTATAGAACCATGATAAATAGTGAAAAGGTAAAAATGTCCAAAAACAAAACAAAAACATATATTTCTTGTGGCGCTTTGGCCCAGAGGCAATGTCTCTGTCATTGGTGTGGTCCTGGTCAAGATCGAATCCCTGTTAGGGCGGTTGGCGCCTTCCAGTGGACCCCCCACCTGCAGGAAGGTTCACGAGGGGCTGGTATAGTGCAGTGTGATTTGGGTAGCGGTCATGTAGATGTAGGTGGACAGCCCAGGTTCAGTTCCAGCTGAGTACCCATGTGTCCTTGGGCAAAACACCTAACCCCTATGTTTGACATTCAGTGCCATTCCCAAGCCTTGACAAACGTAGAGTGGTGCAGCACAAGGCATTCAGTGCAAAACCTGTGCCAGTGTCACTACGGTGTGCGAATTACCTAAGAGCTACTTAAGTTAAGGCTAATATGTCACATTTGTGTACTTGTTTTTTATTCATTTGTTATTATGTCTTTAACTGCAAAATCACAATGATAAAAAAAAACACAGACAGAGTTGTCTGTTACATTTCTGTTAAACTGTTTGCCAGTTTCATTTCATCTGTTAATGACTGTCACCCTTCTCAAAGAACCTTCTCAGATGACAGATTCTCTGGAGAGAAGTGGAGATCAGGCTATTTTGAAAAACAGGATCTGGTTTCTTTATGCGTCCACCTTGGCCCCGCAGTCTCCGGCCAATTAGAATACACAGATGCCTCCAACAGTAGTTTGGCCGCTGGCTGCGGGCCCTGCATTTCAAAGGCTGATGGCATGTGTCAGCTTACAGTTCCACTTCACTTCTCACCATCACGGTGCTTTTCAGCCCTTGGCTGATGTGCAAGGTGAAGCTGCCCTTGTTCGCTGCGAAGGGAAATTCCTCACTCGTCTCCTGTTTATATCTTGATTTGACATTTCCACTTCATGCACCATCCATCAATTCACATTCACTCTTTCTGAGCCTTTAGAGTCGGTAATTTGTAACACTCATTGCAAGGAATGACGGATTTCACGAGTTTGAAGTTGTTTTTTATGAGGTAAAATACAAACGTATGCTTTATTTAACTGCATCATTTATTTGTTTTAATAGTGTTATCTTCTGTATTTTTGTGGTCAGACGGTGCATCTAATATTTTAAGACAAACTGTGAACCTATGTTTTTAGGATTAAACAGAATACAACACATTTTAGATCCTAATCCTATTTTTTTGTAAGGTTTTACAAAGGGGAACATTTTCCATTTTACTGTTGATTTTTCCTCACCATAAATGTACATGACTAATATCGCGGCCGTGTCGTCTGCTGCTCATCGATACAGCGAATATCAAAGTCGACTGTTTTTGAAAACAAGACAGAGGCTTGTGCTGTTGTCATGGTGGAGACAGCAGTCTTCTCTACGACCAGCTGTTGTTTTGTAGACCAAACCGAGTGCACTGATAAGACGATAGGTTTGGCCAGCAGCTCAGCCTGGCACAGTATTCACAAAGACAACTGAGAACAGGTGAGGGTTCCATTGCCAGACACATGGGTGTATAAATGCATGGATACGCAAACTCACAAATGTTTTGTGCTCGCGCACACACAAACACAAAGACGTGCACGCCAACCAGGGCTGTAGAGTCATTAGTCTGGCTGTGGAGGGATTTATACTCAGGATCTAAGCTAATTGGTCCCTTTGAAAGAGGAAACAGAGCACAGTAGTCAGTGTGCAGAGTAGAAATGATAAAATCTTAGATAAAAAATTGAATTTCTACTTTGGCACTGTTTTCTCATTGTTGTTGGATGTTTTCATTTTTTCAAGATGATTGTTGTCATTTATGTCCAACACCACAAATGGACTGTTACTCAGTTACCAAAATGTGAGCCTGATGAAAGCGGAGGATGAAAATGGAACAAGAGAGAGCCCCCATACAGCCGTCTGATATATTTACATTTTATCCCTTAGCCTCAGGTTAAAAAGACCCATGAAATGATCCATGAAGAATTTTGGTCTGGCTTTTGCATGGAGATTAAAGAGGCATGCACCCTGGATTTATATACAGTGTTTGGGCCTTAGGCATTTCCAAAGTGTGGTCTGTGGACCAGTTGTCGTACTTGGGTAGGTTTTATGTAGCCTAAGACTTTCTTAAAATATATTAATTATTAGCCCACTGGCTTCATAACACACAATACTAAATCATAAAGAGCCTAGTTGCATCACCTTCGTGGCATTTCAGAAACAAACAGTCATTGTCATTATTTGGTATTAATAGAAGTCCTAAATCATCATTAAGAGGCTTTGCTTTAAACAGGACGTTAACAAAAATTAAAGTTAAAACAACTTCCTACTCTCTTTAGGTTTAATGGAATTCCACTTAAGGACATTTTACCAGCCTTTTACCTCTAATTATATCATTTTGAGAGCTTGTACTTATGTTACGTTTTATTGCAATTAAGAAAACACAAAGTCTAAGCATGCATTTTTCTGGAACATCCAGTGTTTTAAAAAAAGTGCTACAAAAAAGTAGTATTAAAAAATGGTGTGGTACCATGTGAAGGCTGCATTTACATGGGGAATGGATTAAAGAAAGACAAAAATATTAACATATTTTATATATCAACTAAATGTTTCCTCCCTTTGTCTCCTTTCATTTATACAAATAAACAGGTTTTGAGTTATATTTAGTACGTCTGCTGTGCCGGAACGATGTTTGCGTTTCAGTTTCGACCGGACGAAATACAATGACGAACGATGGATCCCTGTGTGGGAAGTGTCTTGAAAGCTGTCAGAAGGAGTAAAGAGGATAAGAAAGTTCTCCGAAAGCAAATTAAAGCGAGCCACACGTTACTTAAACATGAAGGTATCGCCACGTCAACGCAGCCCACGAAGGTAAACTGTAGTAGAATAGTAATGGAAAGATTTACATTTGGACAAATATTAGCTGTTAGCCAAGAAAAGCTAACAGACTGTTTATTATAGACATTGTCTATAAGCTATAAGATAAATAGCTCGTTTTAAGTACATACTACTAACTAGAAGTGTGGTTTGATTGTTTTTTGTTTTTTTGTCCGTTCGTTTGTCAATTCTGATTAGTTATCAAACTCTAAACCCTTATGTTATTTATTAAGGGTATTTCTGGAGTTATTTAGTCAGTGCATCTAAAACCTGAAAGGTTTGACCACGATAATATATACGACGTTTCAGAAACTAAAAATGATGCCATGATAGAAAATTTGACTCCATAAATATTTTTTTAAAATTAGTTTGTACCGCTATGTTGGTTCTGGACTACTAGTTAGTGGCATACTGATAGAGCACAGTCTGTATAGGATCTCTGTGGCGTTTGTTAACCTGATAAATTAAACATTGTTCTACTGTATTTCATAGCAATGATGAATATTTGTAACTTAATAATAATTTAAGAAATAAGAATCAATTAACATTTTTTAATACGTGATGGAGTAGTTACATCTATAAAGTCTTCCATTTATAATCGTTTAAAGGGATCTGTATTGCTGATATGACCCTCCAGAGAAAATGAATTTGACAACCCTGCTTTATAAACAGTTAGTGATGTTGAGTGTTCTCGTTATTCATAAATGTGACCGTCACTTCTTCAGAGTCTGGTGGTGGCTAATGGTGGCCTGGGGAACGGCGTCAGACGAGAGGAACTTTCTACAGTCCTGAAAGAGATGGGCGAGGTAGAGGCCTTGGTGATGCCTCCTTACAAACCTTATGCCTTTGTCACATACAGGTGTAGTTGCTGCAAGTTAAAAAAAAAACTTTTAGATAAAAACAGATCTGTGGATTTTCGTTGTAAACACAGTGTTGTTCTGTCCCTAGGTCTGAAGAAAGTGCTCGAGAGGCTGTCACTCAGCTTAATGGACTTAAGCTTCATTGTGAAGAGAACAACGTCACACTTTACCTGAGTTATGTAACTTCAGGTGTGAGCCCTCAATATTTACTTGTGCACATATTAGTGTCACACTTGAGTCCTCTGATTGTCACTATATTTTCGTAGTGGAAGACAAAACATTTTATTTGCTGTACTTTGAATGCTTATGTACAGTAACGAGTGAGGAGGAAACATCTGTAGTTCTGCCTGAGGGGTTGATCTTGGTGGAGGACTTTGTGACGCCAGAGGAAGAGGCTTTGTTGCTGGCTGCTGTAGACTGGTCATCATCCACTGATGATGTCACTGGTGAGAAACCAGACATATTATTATTATTTTTAATCTTTATAATTAAATCCAATACAATATTGAAGTAAATACAAGAATTTACACATACAAGTATTTTAAATTTAACAAAGTAACTTTATTGTATTATGTTTAAGCTGAAAAGGCCCTGAAGCACCGAAGAGTCAAACATTATGGATTTGAGTTTCGCTATGACAACAACAATGTGGACAAGGATAAGCCTTTAGCTGCAGGTAATCAATATGTATCTGCGGTTTTCTTCTTCTATGGGTTATATTTTCACATGACCAATATTTAAGACACACTAATCTTAAAAAAAAAATCTTTCTCAGGTCTTCCTGAACCGTGTCTACCTGTCCTGAAGCGATGTCTGAATAACAGATACATTGACATCATGCCAGACCAGCTGACTGTCAATCAATACGAAGCCGGACAGGGTGAGTTTCATTTATTTTTAAATTCACTTCTAAAACCGTTTATTACATTTCTTTATCTTATTGTGAAGCCTTACTGATTACTACCACAAAGTGGCAGCAGAGAGTTTTGAATGACGCATTCTTACGTTTACCTTGGAAGAAAAATAGGCTGTTTTACCCTTGCTTTTTTTTAAAGCTTATGTAAAGAAAAATTATCATTTGTAGATATATGAAGTGAATTCATGATTCATGATACTTTCAGGTATTCCTCCTCACGTGGACACGCACTCTGCTTTTGAGGATACCATTCTGTCCTTGAGCCTCGGGGCGCAGGTAAGAAATCTGTCAACGCTGCCTTTTATGGAATTAGCTATAACCTGTTGTTGAACATTCTGTTTAATCTAAAGTGTTTTACGTTATCTTTGACTGGAGAGTAGACAAAATTGTGATGCCAGACTCTTCTGTTGGTGATATGCCTTTGGTCTGTCCCTATTTTGATCAATCAAATCAACTCTCATACACTTCACTGACCAGAATGATTGATCTGTCCCAGGGGCACAGTCACCACAAACGGGAGCCTGTGTGTGTGTGTGTGTGTGTCTGTCTGTCTGTGTGAGTCTCTCTCTCTCTCTCTCTCTCTCTGTGTGTGTGTGTGTGTGTGTGTGTTTGTGTCCTTGTGAGTTCACTGACAACATTTTGTCACCTTGCTGGCAATGTTGTCTTTCTCCACCACACTCGTGCAGCTGCAGCTCTCTGTGGCCTTCTAATAATAAAGTTGGCAAAGTCGAGCTGCTTGTGGTGCATTTCAAACAAGAGGAGGAACATATTTCTTTCCTTGCCTTTTGTCTGTCCTTGACTGATCTATGTGGGACTCTAGGCAACGTATTTCTACGATGCTCTGTGCTTTCATTCCTGCGTGCTAACGCTGTTGATATTCACCCAGCTGTCCCTGCTTGTCTGAAATACTATTAGCAGCAATCATTTCTCATCTGTCGTGTCATCTGTCTATTTCCCTCTCTCCCTCTCTCCATTTCTCACACACACACAAACAAACAATAGTGATCACAGACAACTAATGCATCATTTGCTATGATTTAGTATAGGCTATTCAATAGAGAACTAAAAAAAACAGAGGATATGTTGTAAACAAGCAATGTCAAACAATCTTTTTGTACTATACTTTTGAAGAACTTTAAGAATATATTTTTTGGAAATATCTAGAAAAAACAGTCAAAATAAGATTAGTCATTTCTGTTGTCTATTTTAAGACAACAAAAATGACTAATCTTATTTTGACTGTTTTTTCTTATTTTGTTATTTTGTTAATAATCCAGTTATTTATATTTAAGCATTTAGCATAATGACTTATATGCGGAGGGTTAAGGTTATCATTTAATGGGGGACCTACCTCATGTCAGGCAGATGTGTATAGTGTGATAACCGCTACACCAGGGATGTCAAACATATGGCCCGTGGGCCAAAACTGGCCCTCTAGCGGTTCTGGCCTGGCCTGTTTGATGAATTTTGTGAAAAATCCACAAACACTTCATGTTAGTGATGGTTTGTCAAATGATATTTCATTAAATATGAATATTTCTTTATAAAACATGAACTTATTGTTATTTATAAATAATTATGTTATGACTGTACTGGCCCACATGACATCTAACCAGGCTGTATGTGGCCCTTGAACCAAAATTAGTTGGACACCCCTGCGCTACACTATAGAACCGTATTTATTCACCTTACTATTTATAGTCCAATTCTTGCTTCAAACACATCCTCCTGTGTCTGTGGAGATTTTCTTTTTCTTTTCTTGACACTGCTGTTCACACACCAACGACTCCTTAAATGTGTCAGGCCCTTTGAGAATAACGTTTCAGAGCCTGTGAACACACTGACATTATTGGAAATCCTAAAACCGTCCTGTCATTTAACACTTTGTTCGTATTACTTCATGATAATAACCTTTCATTGTGCTGCCGCCTTTCCATTCACCTGTTTTCTGCTATTTTGGACATGACGGAACCCCCCCGACCCTCCCAGATAATCGTTAGTATCTACATTTGTGAGAGGAGAAGATGAATAGCCTTAGCAGAGCTGTCACTGCCACAATCAATATAGCCACACACCACCGGTTTCTTCAAGAGGGAATCTCTGTGAAAGTGTTTGTGTGTGGAAGAGGAGAGACAAAGGTGTCACTTGTGTTTTAGGCGTTTCAGATAGTAGGCTTAGTGAGAAACAGAGGTTGTCAGCCTTGAAATGAACTAACCTCTGTTTTTTTTTTCTTTTCTATGCTGTAAGATAAATCAAACCTGAGATGCAGCTTATGCTTTATTGCAGCCAGAATGAGGTCATTTGTCTAACCTCATTCTGAGGTCTAACCTGTTTGAACAGTGTTTATGTAGTTAAACTTCACCTGCTTCCACGTCGCTGTCGCACCTCCTCTCCATCTGCAGTCAAATTATCAGTGATTCTACACAATATGCATATTTTACACGCATATATGCATGGTTATTATTATATTATTAATATTCATAATAAGGCTGGGGAGACACTCGGCCCTGAAAATATTTGCAAATCGGCAGCTTGGATAAGAGCAGTGGTTTCCAATGTGGGGGGCGGACCCCTATAGGTGGTGTGAAGCTGTTGCAGAAGCAGCACAACAATGCAAATAATTTTTAAATACATTTTTATTAAATTTAATAAAAATAAATTTAACAATTACTTCATCTGTTACACTGTTGGGTAATTAAACTGATTTGTTATTATATTCTGTCATTTAGTGAGAATAGCAGTTTTGTGGTGATAACAGTTTTTACAGGTTCAGTGAAGCAATTGCTGAGCAATATCTGAGTCGAAATGGGGGTGGAGTGGACGATAGTTCATGATGTTTGGGAACCCCTGATTAAAATCATGGTTCTATGTATATTGAACAACAAATGGGTTTCTTATCAGTCTAGTACTTTATGTATACAGTATCACCACACTGTAAAACTGCAAGTAAGTGTGTACTTCAGATCAATCGTTAGCTCTGATAGTCTTGATATAGGCACTGTGTAGCCAGATGGAGAAAATGTATGAAAATATATGAATGAGAAAATTTGTATTTTAAATCCATGTTTATGCATGTTTTTTTATTGAAATATTGAAATAAAAAAGCAAAACTTGAAGCTACGTTCAAGAGTCTAAATAAAACTAAAAAGTTTGCTAACAATCTTTAAGGAACAGTCTTTAGGTTCAACTTTTTTTTTTTCATGGGGTGAACAACAACTGCATGGTTATTTCTTCTCTTTGTGTCTCTTTTTTGCTCACACACAGACACACACACATGCATTTCCGCCTCCACTTCACACAATCCAATTTTCTTGCTGTCAGAAGTTGGAGAGGTTGTACTTGAAGTTGTGCAGATGCAATTTCCCAGCTGAGCTCATGCCGCTCTGCTTTGTAAGGAAACATTAGGATCAAATACCCAGAAGCCTCAGCTGGTTGTTAGTGAGGAAATGGAGTGTCTTCTGTGAGTGACGTCACACAGAAGTTTTAAATATGAAGGGGAAGATTGAAATTTTCACTTTGATTGTGTTCAGTATTAGCAGAATGTCATAGATCATCATAGATTCATCTGCTTCTGTTTTTGTAGACGGTGATGGAGTTCCGCAATCCTGATGGTCGTTTTGTTCCGGTGCTGTTGCCAGGACGCAGCCTCCTGGTTATGAAGGGAGAGAGCAGATACCTCTGGACTCATGGGTGAGCTGGACTGTGTTTTATTTAACAAACCATTTTCTCATTTAAACTTTATTCTACTACATAATATATCAGTTGCTTTAACAATCGCTCGATTTCCAGCGTAGTCAATTCCAACACCTGTGGTTTCACAGAATCACTCCTCGGAAGTTTGACATGGTGCCAGCAGGTGACCAGCCACCTCCTGTTGGCATAGCAGCTGATGTCAGGGCCTGCAACAATCTCACCTTAAGCAAGAGAGGCACTCGTACTTCCTTTACCTTCAGGAAGATCAGACACGAGCCCTGCCGCTGTGGTGGGTGTCCGACAAGTGCAACATAATAACACTCCTTGTGTTTCAAAAAGCTCTATGCATACTGTCGCTCCTTCCTGCGCAAGAAGTTGCCATATTCATTCAAGGTACCTGTGAATTGCTAATCACCTGTTTCCTCTCTCTCCCCATCAGCCTTTCCGTCTGCCTGTGACAGTCAAGGATCTCCATCCCCGCCCTCTCCTCCTTCACTTCCTTGTTGCCATGACGATGCGGCCCGCCTTGAAGAGGAGTACGTCCACCGGGTGTACGATGCAATCGCCTGCCACTTCAGCAGCACACGTCACTCCCCATGGCCTCGTGTTTGCCACTTCCTGTCCGAGCTCCTGCCCGGCAGTGTGCTGGTTGATGTGGGCTGTGGAAATGGCAAATACCTGGGTGTCAACCCAGAGGTGACAGCAGTGAGTGTCTTTTTCTACTATGACTGTCTTCCCCTCAACTAACTATCGCTTTCTTTCTGTTGTATTTTCCATTTTATTGTATTACTTTATTATAAAATACTTGTTTCAAATATATATATATATATGTATATATATATATATATATATATTATTTCTGCCTTTGTGTCTGATCTGCCATATTTATTTCTGTATTTTCACATTTATTGTCCTTTTCTGTCTGTATGTAAATGAGGTGGGATAAACTTGGTTTCCATGGTAACATCATAAATTCTCCATGTTTATCTACGTGTTTGTGAGATTGTTTGGGATTTTGATGTGCCTCTAAGCAGCTCAACCTGATTTAAACCATGACTGTTATAAATCATTACAGAAGAAAATGTCTTCAGGTGACATGTCAGCGTTCTCGAGATGACTCTGATTTGTTTGTCCCACTTCTCAGTTCAGTTTATTGAAGCAGTAATGACTTGACACAATTTGACCTTCTTTAAAAGTTCATCTCATATTGGGTTTTCTTTGTTTACTTTCTGTGTTTTTGACCAAGTGATACAGCTTTCAGTAGATATTCCAACTCCATCAGTGTCATACATTTACAGTACAAATACTGACAGTGTGAAACAATGCTCCTGTGCTTGTGTCTGTTTCTATTAGATCGGTTGTGATCGTAGTAAAGCTCTTGTCCAAATCTGCATGGTGAGAGGGTTTCAGGTGTTTGTATCTGATGCTCTCAGTGTCCCCCTGCGATCTGCATCCTGTGATGCCTGTATCTCCATAGCTGTGATCCACCACTTTTCCACACAGGTACAGTTTATTGACCTCTTAATTTACCTCAGTATATACAGTAAAGGTATCATTTTAATTTTTTTTTCAGATATTTTTTCAGATATTGATACAGAAATTTGCTTTTTATAGATGTAGGTTGCTGTAAATGTATACAGTATGAAGGAGTCAATTTGTATATATGTATATATCTATGTATATGTGTATATATATATATATACATATATATATATATATATATATGCAGTATATATATATACTGTATATAAAGTTATGTGCGTTGTTTGGTAGGAACGACGTCTGGTAGCAGTGAGGGAGCTGGTGAGACTTTTGAAGCCCGGAGGTAAAGCACTCATTTATGTTTGGGCTTACGAGCAAGAGTACAACAAGCAAAAGTCCAAGTACCTCAAAGAGAAAAACAAAGATCATCACGAGAACCTCCACTCCACTGATGACACATTAGAGGAGAGGCAGGAGCCTCACGTGGAATCTGTGGGTTGTAGAAGACACTTAGGAAACAGCCCTGTTGACAGCATTCAAGATGTGGACAAAGTGGCCGATGGAAAACTAAGTGTGCACACCAACCGCACAGCCTTTAACACCCAGGATCTTTTGGTTCCTTGGCATCTGAAAGAAGGGAAGAGTCGAGATGAGGTCAAACCACAGAAGAGTGGGAAGAAGAAAACAAACACAAAGAAATCCAAACTTACTTCAGATAACTCTGGTTTACCCTCTACCTTGGTATCTGAAACGGAGTCAGACTGTGATAGAAAATCGAACCCAGAGTTTGACACAAACATATCGTCTCCGTCTGATCTTGACAGCGCTGAGGCTCCTGTCCTTGGATCAGAATGTGACAGTGGCCCAATGCCAGTCTTCCATCGTTATTATCATGTTTTCCAGCAGGGAGAGCTGGAGCAGCTGTGTGGTCAGGTGATGGGGGCTAAAGTGCGGAGTAGCTACCATGATCAGGGAAACTGGTGTGTTATATTAGAGAAAGAATAAAGATATCTAAATACATGTATTTTTTAACAAAACCATTTATGATTTTATGCAAAATAAAGGACTTTTAAAAATAACTCTGAAATTTGATTTTTTTTTTCAAAATGCCCATAACGTATAGTTCTTAAGCTTATTTTCTTTGTTTTGTAGCACATATCTTGCAGAAAAAAAGTTTTTTTTCTGTTAAAGTTTGTGCTGTCACTAGTAGCTTAAATTTTGTTTTTATCGACCTAAACTGTTAAATATAGCCAGTTGAAACAATTTATCTTCTTTGTCCTCACATTTCAGGCCCTCAGTCAACCCATTAAAAGTATTTACTCTGTCACGTTTTAAGTTGTTACAGTCTTTACTGTTATTAAGTAAACAATTGTAATTCATCCATTTTCATTATATCAACTTCTGGTTTGCAGACGTAGAGGCTTCAGGTTGGTACAACAAATCAAGTTTATACATTTATTTAGTTGTTATGTGTTGAATAGACCCCAAAATATACTTAATGGTTTTCTACAATTGTTTTGTTTGCTTTTTACTGAACTGAATTGACTGGATATTGGTGGGGTGTTGATGGTGGTGGATTGGAATGTCGTCATTTGTTGTGCTCGCTCTGTAGCAGCTGCCAGAGTCAGAGGCTTCTCTTGGAAATTTACTCCTGTGTCTCCTCGCCGCATTTACAACAAACTACTGTGTTGAAATTGTTGAAGCTTTTATTGGTACTATTGATTAGACTGTAGCACAGCTTATAAAAGTGGAAGTATGAGATGCTTCTTTTGTGGACCAGTGCACACTATTCCTCTGGTGTGTGTGAACATGTATTGTTGTTTTACTACTATGATTTTATTGTGGCCATTTCTCTGACATCTGATTTGTGCCCAGCATTTGGAGAGTAGATTAAAAACACATTTCCCATGTGTGGCCTGTTGTTTGGCCATAGTATAGTGATATCTATGATTTTTAATAAAATCTAAGGGGGATTTGAAATATTTCACATAGGCATAGCGTTTCCTGCTACTGGAGATTTTTTGGAATATTCTAAAATTATATTTTAATACAAGTCCCTATATGCATACAAATATATTTCATTTCCCTTCTATTTCCATTGAATGCAGACACTGCAATGTTTTGCGAAAGCACTGACACTCTATAAACCTATACATTGACGTAAAAAAGTATTGAACATATCAACACACATAGCGTCCAGCCAGTAGGCATAAATGACTACAATAAAGTAGGGCTACTTAACGTTTGCCGTAAATGTTATGCTTTGCGACATTTACACGAACACATTTGCGACAGCATCATGGCGGCGTACGGTGCTAGTTTTGAGAGTTCGAGCAGTATCGATGAAAGAAAAGAAAAAAAACGACAGGCTCGACAAGAGGTGCTAGAACAGGTATGAAGTATATGATGTGATAACTAATATATACGTTTCAGTTTATTGTTTAATAATTAATAATGTCAACAACGAAGCTACTGTCTGAATCAAAGCTAATATGCTAAGTAATCTAACGCCTACAGTCACGGATTGTTACGGGTCTACTACATTTAAATTACTGCCCATTAAATGTATTGACTTGTTAGGTGTACTGGAAAGATCGCAACCCTGTTATGAGTTGCCGAGCATTCGGAGGAAATTAGTTACAGGATAAATCGTTAAAGAAGTCAGAGTACCTGTACCTGTTTACCACTCTTTATATAAGCGATTTGTCTACAGAGCAAGTGTACCTAAGGTATAGCTTTATAATAAGAGCAAATATCGTTGCAATTTCCGACTGTACGTACTAGGTTTTCTAATTGCATCTTCTGTTTAACTTTGGTAAACAATAGATATGAACACATGGGCCAACTAAGGGACCCGATGATAATTGAAGATTGTGAGTTCACATCCTGTGCTTGAACCACCCATTACTGTTCATAACTGATTTTTTTTTAGATTAAATATTGACTTCCCCCCACTAATGTTGATATATAGGAGGAATTAGTAAAAGATAAAGGTTAGAAAGATCTACTTATGTCTATCTGTCCATTACAGATTATCTACTATAGTCTTTTTCCTCATGTTTATGCCAATAGATTTAACATTTTAGTTTTTAACTGTTTATACTTTCAGGCAAAGCAGCAGTTTGAGAAAGAAGAGAGGAGAAAAGAGCTGAAAAGGTTAAGAGGAGAGGACACCTGGATGCTCCCTGATGTCAATCAGAGGCTGCAGCAAATAGAGGAGGTAAGCTGCAGTTTCTGTCACTTAAAGTTGAACAATTAGTTTTTAATGACAGTTATCACTTTTTAAATCCCATAAATTCTGAATTGTCAAACTGCCTACAGGACGGAAAGGTCAAAAAGAAAAAGAAAGAGAAGAAATCCAAAAAGAAAAAGGAGAAGAAGAAGTCCAAAAAGGAGAAGAAAACCGCAGAAGAAGATGGCTCAAGTGACGGTTCTGAGGTAGATTTATATACTAACCCTAACCCATTACCACCTCATCACCACCATTTACCAAACTTTATTTTTTCAAGTTTCTCTTTCTTTTTTTCTGTTTCCCAGGGCTCTGAGGATGAGTGGGTTGAGGCTCAGCCTCAGCCCCAAGCCAGAAAACCTTGGCAGGTTTCCAGTGACTCCAAACCTTCAGAAGATAACCTCAGCTCAAACCAGAATGTTCAGGTCTAGCATTTTTATCTAGTTCCCAATGTGTTATCATTTAACTGTAAGCTAAGTGTCAGGGAACATACGTATCTATACTTTACAATTAAAGAAACATTTATTTCAACCCTTATTTCAACATAAAGGTCTTCAAGGTTTTAATCTCTTGTTTCAAAACTTGCGTGGCGAATTCCATAATAGTGAATCATAAATTTAGGCCCAATTTAGATGAAAGTTACTGGTAAGGTATTTGGAGTTAACTGTCTGTCTCAATTTGTAGAGAGATGAATGGATGACATTTGACTTCCTGGCAATGAAGACCACATCCACTGCAGAGAAGAAGGCAGAGAAAGAACGACAGAAAGAAGAGGAGAGAGCGAAGGCTCGGGAAATTGAACAGGTTTGTTTTCTCCAATTTTTTTTGTCACAGTTCTACAATTCTCAACAGGTTTGATACTGATAATCAATAACTTCCTGCTACCAAAGGCCAATGCAATACCATACCAATACCATAAACAAAACCAAAAACAGTTTTGAGTCTGTAAATGAAATCTTTTTTTTTTAAACAAATATTAGCAAGCCTTTAATAAAAATGAAACAAATAATAATAAACAATCTGGAAAATAGGCCTGTAATCTCCCAGTCAACTGGTTGATTATTTGGTTCATACATTCTGGCCCGACCAAAATTTCGATTTCTCCATTTTTCGTGTTAATTTCATCGGGAGAAAAGTACCAAGTGCTAATGATGTGCTTATTGTTAAGACTCCAAATCTCTTTATTTTTCAAGTTATATTGTTTCTGTACTTGTCTTGATCTGGGTTGTTTAATATATGTTTTTTTTTATTGAAGTGGATTTGCCTTTTGCCTTAAAGAGTAAAGGTTTTAACTTAATGGTCAATTTGTGTCTCGCCGTGAAACTGAGCTCCTCTGTGACCGATGATGGTGTCTGAGGATTATAACATGACAAAAGCAATTATCTAAATGTTCCTCAATAGTTCTTGTGCTGATATCACTAGTTCACATATTTTCGGTAATCATGGGCTATGATATGCAGATGCATGTGATGCAACACTGTGTCAGAGCCGACAGACTGCAGTGTGTGTAAATAGTTTCATTGCAAAATAATAAGGCCAAAACCAATTTAATATAAAGCAAATAGACTACTAGACTAGTCTTTATGTTTATTTACAATAAATTTAGGTGCACAATGCTACCAAGCACTGCGCATTGGGCTACAAACACATGGTGATAGACGTTTCCCTTTCCAGTCTAAAAGAAGTTTTTTCAGTCCTATTTATCTACACATTTTAATGGTTTATGTATAACATAATGGGTAAAATGCTGTGGATAAGATATTGACACAGTCAAGTCAGCAACTATCACAACTTGACAAGTTTTTTCCAGTCAGGAAAAATAATTTTCCGATTATACTGATGCAACTTGAACAAAGCACCCACTCCAGGCCCTTCAGGTCTGAAGGTTGAGAAAGAAAAAAAAAAACACCACGGTTCTGACGAAAATGTATATGATATATTATTGGGTCTTTTCCTTACAATATTGGACTTATTGGAATAATGTCATAGTTCCTGATATTGGGCCGATAATTATCATGTACCCCTAACTCTCAGGTTTCTAATGGTTCCTTAATGCCCCTCATTAACCTTCCTCTTGTGTTCACTTTCTGTTACCAACTCTTATGTTAAGGTTTTGACCCGTGTCTTAAATCAGCTGTAAAATACACTAAAAACAATTAGCTATCATCCAATTTGTTTCTCATCTCTTGGTTACCTTGTTAGGCTTCCATATCCATGAAAATATTGGTTTTAATATTTTTGGTGTGGGCCTCTGGGCCTTTTTTTGTCAGTATACCCCTCGATTTCAATTAAAAAAAATGGTAAAATCAACCTCAACAGAATCATATAAATAAATAAAAGGTTGTTGTGTTACCTGACTATTACTAAGCACTATTAGAACACATCTCTTAAATAAATTTGTTTTATTTATTTTTTAATTTTAATATTATTAACTATAGTAACATCTATGGTGTTACGGGTCAGTTTCGACCCATATATATTTACTTCAAGAAAAGGGCAAAAAAGTATTTTTTTTTAAATTATTATTATTTTATTTGCTCTGGTATCTCTGTTGTCAAATCTGAGGACTCTTGATATCATGCGAAAGGTCTGAAGTGACATTGTTGAGCGGAAAATATTTCTGCCTGTCGATGCGTCCCAAAGACTATCAGTGGCCTCATTGCAGGATCTGTACACTCCAGCAAGAAGAAGAACACCAATATAGGCATCCAGGTATTCCTCATCAATGTCTTTCCACATGTCGCCCTGGACCTCTGGATGTCACTGACTCTTGTCACAGCAAACCTTGTGATTCCAGGGGTCATTTTGATGACATTTGCAGCAGCTGCCCTGCCATGTTCATCATGAGGTATTTGTTTTGTTTTTGTGCAGGAATACTGGAAAACAAGGCAAAATGAGCATCCCCTAAAGCTCAGTGTTTTGGCTGACAGTGCACTTATGATTAAAGTTTTGCTTCTAATTATTGCTTTATAATCTGACTTTTATAACCGGGTCGAAACCGAACCGAACAACACAAAGGTCGTAATTTCAACCAGAGCATTTTATAATTTAGTGAAAAAAAAATTTTTTTTTTTATTTTGTTGAAACAGAGGTTCTTGACAAAGTCAAAAAGCCTTGACGCAATAAACTAATTTATGTGTTTTTTAATGCATTTAAAACTTGGAAACGGGTCGGTGCCGACCCGAACACCAGAGGAAGGTTAAGGACATGCCACTCAGGGGACCCCTTTAGGGACCCTCTAAAGAATATATTACGGTACTTTAAGGGATGTCCGGGGTTGTGAAGCTTTTTCAAAGTAACGAAGTACACTTGCTGTGGGCGTTCCATTTTTGTATTTACTTTGCTAAATACAGACAAAGGCTCTGTATCTCGAGGTACAGTTTCTTTTCTTTTTTTGTTCTGCCGCCTTTTTTTGTTGCTACCACATTTGAACACAGTGGATGACTGACAAGACGGTTTATTTCACTCATTCCACTATGGAACAAACACACCAGCTGAGACCAAGGCACAGAGCAATTGCTGTTGGTTGTTCTTTTTTGTAGACATACCTTACTAATATACCATACAAGTAGATATGATTTACATAGTTTTAGTTAATATATTTGGAATATTTTGTGAAAATAATAAAAATATATAATAAAATAATTAAGAAAAAAACTCTAATATAATCTAGTTTTTATCATGTGATTTGATATAATAAAATAATTAAGAAAAAAACTAATATAATCTAGTTTTTATTATGTGATTTTTCCTAGGCTGGTTTGCACAAATTGGAGTTGAACCCATACTGGAAAAATGGAGGAACTGGCCTGCCTCCACAGGAGTCAACTGGTAGTGCAGCAAAGACAGGTAGGTGATTGTTGACGTTGGTCATTATATTGTCCAGCTGTTTGAAATACAAATTAATCGCGGTGTTGAAAGACTTCATTAATTTGGTCTTGATTATTTACAGGTTCTTTATAAATTCATACAAGAATTTAATAATGTACCTTGTCAGCATACATATTCAAAGATGTGAGTCTTTTGAGTCCACCACAGAAAACAGCAGGAAACATATAATGTCCTATTTACCATGAATATCATAAAAACATAAAATAAAGAAGGGTGTAAATGATTTAATTTTCTTTATAGACTTAACATGTAGAACAGATGTTTAACAACAGGCCAGATAAAAACAACTGCTGTTTAAAATTCATTGGACGAGATAAAGACAAGTAAAAAAGCTGTGATAAGCTAAGTAAATGCGGGAGTATTTACAAATATATTTTATCTACCCAGTTTGCACAGCTCCCAGCTGTAAAGCCTGTCTGAAAGAATCTGAACAGCAAAGCAAAATATGCTGACACTAACATACTCCCACCAAACCACCATTCACCTTTTTTAATTACAGTGGTGCTGAAAGAGGTGCAGAACGCTACCATTTGGTTCATGCTTTATCAGCTCTTTAAATTAGTATAATTGTATATAATGCAGAACTGACATTTTCTCTCTCTTTTCCCTAGCTGTAGGTTCAGTAGTTAACGATGGTGGTTTGAGCTGGCTGAGGAAGAGTTACCAAAGGATGAAGGAACAGGCAGAGAGGGAGCAACGAAACCTCACTGACTTGGTGGCTGAAAGATATGGAGTAAGTATGTTCTATTGGTTGGTAGAGGAGCAACTTGCAATACTAAAGTTTGTTTGTGGTATATTTTAAATGGCAGACTTGTGATATTTTGTTGTGCGTGTGGAAAAAGTTTAAAATGGTAATTCTGTGTTAATATTTTCACAGTCAATGGAAGAATTTCAGCAGAGACTAGCAGAAGCTGAAAAGGCCTTTTACGGACGGGGAAGAGAAGAAAGAGGAAGAGGGGAAGGAGAACATGGTTGGAGAGATAGTGGATGGAGAAAAGGAGAAAATGAGAACAGAGAGAGATGGAGGAGAAGAGAGGGAGACACCAAAGGAGGTGAACAATGGCCAAGACATGACAGGGAGACTCATCAGCGAGAGACAGGGAGAGATACCCCTCTGGAAGAGAAGAGGCGGGGGAGAGGAAAAATGAAGGTTACCGGGGGAGAGGAGAAGAGAGGGCAAGAGATGAGGACAGGTTTAGAGAGAAGAACAGACACAGAGACAGAGATCGAGACAGAGATAGGGAGAGAGAAGGAGAAGCTGAAAGAAGCAGAGATCGAGACAGAGACAGGGACAGGGACAGGGACAGGGACAGGGACAAAGTCAGCCCATTGTCATCATCTTCATCATCATCCAGGAGTCAGGGTACCCACTCGAGTGGCTCACTTCAAGGCCGCTTCCTTAAACCCTCAGACGAAGATGACGTCGGATTAGGTGGGTTGATGTCAAGGCCTTTTCTCACATGTTTGAGTCAAAGGCATTCTGGTGTATTTTAACAGCATTAGATAGAGTTCAAGCAGTGCAGCCATTGTTTCGTCACCTCTACTGTATTTGCCTGTCTATGAGTTAATAAGAGATCTTTAATTTACCAGGATACACACATGCTCACACACATGCATGTAGACTGACCCAGGCTAAATTAAGTTATAATGATGTCTCCATATGTATACTGTGACCACAACTGTTAATGGCTTTATTGTGTTCCTATTTGTTAGTAAGTGGAGAGTAACATGGTTAATATTTTGAAAATAAAAATGTATGTAAAACTTGCTGGTGCATTTGCACACAACCATAAAAGTCAGTAAATACACTGATCAAGCGTTTCACTTTTGTAGAGCAAAAAGATGCTAACCATAATGTTTAATGTCTGTTTAATGTAGGCAGCGAGCATCGGCTTCCACTCCGTCCCAATGCAAAATACTTGAAACCCGCCTCTGATCATGAAGCTTCTGCTACACGCAGTGCAGCCATTCCAGCCTGGAAGAAGATCAGTAATCCAACCAAAAATAATGACCACGTAGAAAACACACCTCAGGAGATAAAGAGTGATCCTAGTCAAACTGGGACTGCTACAAAGGAAACCCCATGTGGGAGCAAAGCTCAAGTAAAAACATCAAGGTGTGAAGCTTGTTTTTTATTTCTAACGTCTGTCTCTGTGTGTGAGTTCTGGAATTCTAGTATTGTATATTTGTAAACAGAGAGGCATGTAGCTCTCCTTCCAGCCCAACAGGGGGAACTGTGACTACAATTTGAAACATTTCCAATCAGAACCTTTTACTCTCTTGCAAAAAAGTGAAAACTAAAGCAGAGGGTAGTTCCACTGTAGAATAAAAACTGTTATTTAATCCATTATGAATAAATGTGGGACAAAATGTTAAAATAATTGTCACAGAAACAGTTCCTGGCTTGTTCTTGTATGTCGAGCCAGATGTCGGTGCATCACTCATGGTTGTGTGCAGTCGTCACACTTCTGAGCTCTGCCTCATTAGGCTAAGTTGTTTGGGTAAACCAGCATGCGGAACCCCTGCAGTATCAAATGAGTCTGCAGCGTGGCAGCAGAATGAAATGAGGCTGTGAGGAGTGTAATAGCCTCGAACGACGCTTTCCATACTTCAGTTCACATTCTTTTATACAAAGCTGTAATGATCGCTGGAGGGGGGGAAGAACTCAAAACAGACTCTCACAGCGGAGAAAAAAAAAACCCCTCATGTTTGAATCAAAAGGACAATCTTCACAGAGAGGATTCCTTGGAGTATTTTTGGGTTGGTGGAAGAGCAGGATATTCAATTTCTTAATCCTGTTGTCACTACCAACTGAACAGAGAATCCTGACATTGCTACTTAGATTAGTTTGAGTGATTTAGTCATAAAAAGTGACTTAAATGCCATTTTGGTTCTGCTCTGACTTTAATTTTTTTTCTTTTGGGTTCATCCAGAGATGAGAGCGAAAGTGAGGAAGAAGAAGAAGAGGAGGAAGAAGAAGAAGTTCCTCTGCTGTCAGAGGAGGAGATGAACAGACTGGCAAGTGAGCTGGTGAAGGCAGAACTCAGGGGCAGAACAGTGAGTCATCACACCACCGTTACATCCCATGTTAAGCTGATTAAATGTTACCACCCGTGTTTCCAAACCCCCTCGTTCTCAGGATTTAATTTTTCTGGCTGAGTGCATTTTTTAATTGGAATATTTATTAGTTTGATTTCCATTTCTTTCTCTTTTTTTTGGCCTATTACCCTACAGCGTGGGCTGAGATTTAACAGCCCATCAGGGGATTATTTCATTTATTGTTTGTATTGATCTTAGCACTTAACTCCCCATCTGTCTTCATGTGTCAGTGCTACTGGGACCTCTGGGATAAAATGTCAGGACTGACTGACAAACACACACACACACACAAACTGAGAACTGTAAAACTCAGTGTCATCAGCCCGGCAGTCGGCATCAGCATACACGACAAAGCAATCAGACCTGTAATCCCCAAACACCCTTTTGCATGTTATGTGTGTTAGTACCCGTTAAGTGCCTTTTACGGGCAGATCTGTGTGTGTGTGTTTTGTACATAAAGGTATCGACATCCCTCACCACAGTGTAGCTTAAGAGCTCCAGTGTGTGTGTGTTCTCTTGACTGATGTGTCTTCCATCACTTTCTTAAGTCTCCTGGTGTTGGTTTCCAAAAAGCCTGCTGCAAAAATTATGTCCATGTCTGTTTTAGGCCCAGGTTGAGAAACTGAAATCACAACTTGAAGCTGCACGACAAGCCAGAGAGAACCATGCCGCTCAGAAGAAGCAGTTTGAGATGGCAAAATCCGGCCAGGTTTGTGGAAACTTGTTAACTTAAAGTTTCGCGTCACACCTAAACACATTATTAAACCTATTTGAACAGCAACATCTTATACAATCCCCAGATCCCATCAAACCACGATTATCTGTGATTATCCACATTATTAAACCTATTTGAACAGCAAGATCTTAGACAATCCCAAGATCCCATCAAACCACATTGAAAACCCATATAATATCCATGATTATCTGTTCTTTATGTACCTTGAGTATATTTATCAGCAATAAGGTAGTGTATACTTTTTAAATTTTGTAGCTTTTTGAGAATATTTATCAGGTATGCTTTGTTGTTTGTGTTACAGAGTTAAGGACAGTAGCTCTGTGTCTTCTCTGTAGCTCTCCCCACCCTTGAATGTATCACCACAGACAATGGGAGACTGCTAAAACACTGTCTCTTTGAGTTTGATCTAAAGCTGTAGTCCCCAACCCCTGGGTCGCGGACTGACACCGGTCTGTGCATCATTTGGTACCGGCCCGCAGAGAAAGAATGCAAAACTCTATATTTAATTTACACTCACAATAAAACAGTTCCAGATTATTTATATAACCTGTAAATCAGTTTTTAGTAATTTTGGCAAAATTATCGTGCTGTAACATGTAGCATTATCCACTAAGCCTGATTAAGTCTTCCGTATGGCTTCATAGGAAGTGTCATAACTCTTGGGATTTAGTGCAGGGTCCAAGTGAGTTTAGAACAAGTTACTCTGACCCTTCAGAGCTTAACTGATTCTCCAAGTCTTGTTATGGAAGACTTTTGGCTTTTATTAAAGAGTCGGTGTGCAGCGTTCTGATGCTGTCCTCCCTCCTACTGAGGTCTTGTTTTTATTTTCGCTGTGTAAGGAGCCTCGGTGGACCTAATTGTGTTGGTCGGAGTTCAGGATCTTCTTCCCCTGTCAAGTTGTCCTGACAGTCTGTCATACACTGCTTCTCCATTTCTCCTGTCTCCTGTCCTGCTTTCACCCTCTGTGTCCAGCTTTAGTTATCAGTCGATGGTCAGGCTTTTACAGACTGTTGAATTCCACAATGGATTTTTCTGAATGTCTTTTAAAAAAAAAAAAACAAAATGGTTTTTTTTGAACATTTTTTTCCATAATTACATTGTCCTATTATGCAAACACTTAAATAATTATACAGTTATTTCTTATGTCCACCCACAAATATTGCCTCCTTACAAATATTAATGAACCTGACTAATAAAGGATAGAGATGAGATGAAACAAAGACTAATTAAAACAATGGGACTCCCGATTTAATAATGTCAGTACCTCTGGGCTGTGATGGAGGCCACTGTTGTTTGTTGGAGACAGTGAAATCTAAAAAATCCGAAGTTTTGCTTCTCTACTCGATATGTTTGTTGTTCTGTTTTCAGATTCTAAAACAACAGGACAAAAGTAAACAAAACCATAAACATTTTTTGCAGCCATCTGGAAAATCCTCTGAAGAGCAGGAAGTCCTTCTGTTTAGAACAGACCAATCTGGTCGAGCCTGGCCAGTCAACGCCCCCTCTGGACCTCACGAGCCGCATGGAGGACGACGCAAAAAGAAACCGGTGAGAGAGGGAAGTGGGTACAACTTAAGAAGAGATGAAAGGGGAGAGATTAAGAATTTTCAATTTTCTTCAGGTATAAACAGAAAAACTAATCCAGGCAAAAGAAAACAACTTAACATAAAAAACAATTATAAACCAAAGCAACTACCCGAGAGAAGAAATGTTATTTGGCGGCAGCAGATGAAGGGTACGCGGTCTGCTGTTTGTTCTTATTCATTTAGTTGCTAGAGGTTGTTATTATCGTAGGAATTCAGTCTCTGAGGGTACACATTTTTAAAGTAATCACAGTGCCTTTATTCTATTAATAATCTCATCAGTTGTCTTTTATGGGAGCGTTCTCTCAATACTATTCTAAACTTTTGAATCCATTGTGACATTGTATTGAGAAGGAACATATTAAGGAAGTGCTAAGGTGCATCTTGAGGCTATCCTTTAAATCATTGTTTCCAAAAGACTGGGTTGCGACCCTCAGGTGGGTCGCAAGAGTTTTGGGTTTTTTTGGGTCGTCTTGCGTCTATTGACTTGGGTCGTGAAGATTTGTGACATTTAAAATATGGATCCCCAGAAAGAAAGTTTGGGAAACACTGCATTAAATCACTTGTTTGCTAACAGAACAAATGTTATTGTGAGCATTGCTCCTGTTTTTGAACCTGATTTTTTTTTAATTCCTCCAAACTGCTGATGTTGTAGAAGCACTTGAATAAATGACCTACAAGGACAATGAGACACTGAACTGCAGTAGGACAACACTGGTTTACTGGTGCACTCCTAATTTAGTGTGTCCTTTACATTTTGCCTTTGGTAATTTGTGAAAGTGTCTTTCTGATGGCTAAGTTATTTCATAATGTCTAATTTTGTCACTATTGTCACAGTTTCTCTTAGTGTTGGCTTATTTATCCACAGCCTCTTTTAAAGAAGTGCCTTTTTTTAAACATCTCTGTTCTGTTCTGTTCAGATCGAGACTCATGTGGATGGAGAGCGTGTGCGATATTTCCAGGATGATGACAATGTTGGTCTGCAAGAAATGGTGCGGAGGGAGAAGATGAGCTCAGCTCATGATCAGCATGCCCTCTACTCTCGCATGGCTGCCAAGGTAGGAGAACTGCTGTCTATTATACTATTACCAGAATGAGCAGTGTGATCTGTGCAGTGTCAAGCTGCTGACCATAGAAAATGACAACTCAGGATATGTTCCCCAGCCTGGAAACTTCAGGTTGAAGGTTTTCAATATCCATTCACCACTCCAACACCTCAGGGTCAGTAGGTGGCACTGCCAGTTTTCTCAGGTTATAAAAATCTCGATGCGGAAACAGCAGCTCCACTGGGTGATAAAAATGAATCACTGCAGGACGGAACTGTTTGTGCTCCGGCCAAAGCACACATGGAAGATATATATAGAAGAAGGTATACAGTATATACATCTTGTGTGTGTTTATGTTAGCATATATAAATGTATACATGTAAGTATGTTTGCATAAACTATTTAATTGGTTTAATGTAATAATAGATAGTTTAGGATTTTATTAACTTACTAAGATGGCATCTGATTTCATATTTTGGTTTAAACATTTTAAATGTCTTCACATGACAGTGTGCTCACAGATGCAATCCAGTCAGTTAGGCTTGTCGGATTAATCGTATTTCCATTGTCACTGCCTAATGAAAGCACTGCAAAAGCCGGTCTGAAAGGCAAAGTGTTTGTGCCGTGTTTTTATGCTCAGCATGCTAATATTTGGCCAATCAGGTGCAGCCCTGAACACATGGTTTCTCTGCTCAGCAGAAGAAAAAAAGGAAAATGCCAGAAAGCAGAGCAGTTGTAGCCGTCACAGCAGTTTTGTAAGCGCGACGCCACATGACTGAAACTTAATAATCAACAATATTTGGCTAAGGATATTGTCAATAATCCAATTCATGACTGTATGTTTGCATTACTGAATAATTTTGTTGTTGTTTTGTGCTTTCATCTCGGATTTGAGGTTATAATTTTTCCGTTTGTTGTTTTGATGATAATGGCTTTTATTATGGAAGTTGTTGTAATGAAGTGACACACAGTTAGAAAGGAAAAGGTAGAAGTACATTAAATAATTGTGCAAGATATTAGCAACACTCAGAGGTACATGGTTTATATTTTTAACATCATCGAGATGTTATTTGTGTTTAAGAGGCATCTGTAGTCTATAGTTAACAGTCGTTAATTAGGTTTAAACAGCAAGTATAAACTTAATTAAGTTGTTACGTAAGTTCCTTACGCAAGTTATCGTTGTTTTTTGGTGATGTGTAGAAATTTAACTTAAGAAGTTGGTTTTAGAATTTCCATTTCTAACCCTCCTATTCCAGTTATTTCATATTTGTGGCTTTAGTTCAATAAAAGCATGCACAGAAATGTTTTTTTTCCAAAGAAGTTGGTTTTAGAATTTCCATTTCAATTTCCATTTCTATTTTTCAATTTTTTTTTTATTTAATTGTCGTCAGCTCACCAGAGTTGAGTCCTTTATGTATGGTATGCAAACTTAAATATTTTATTTATCGCAAGTCAAGTCATCATTGCAGTATTGTCATCGCATTTTGAACATTTGCTTATATTGTGCAGGCCCACTGTCAATAAATATTTCACCCACATTTATTATGAATACAAAAATACACACACACAAAGACACACACACAGTGCACCAGCAAAGACAAACACTAAAAATACATCTACAGTTACCATGGCGTGCCTTCTATAAATACCACATCTAATCACAGCTATAGATTTATGATCTACAAGAGAAAGAAACTGCTTTTCGTCTCAGCGCATCCTTCCCGCTGCAGCATCTCACTACGCTCTTTTACATCTTCATTTCCCATTGTTTGACTCCATTGGTAGTTTTCCAGTATGTCTCCTCGCCTTTATCTTATCAAATGTTTGAATAATTTTTCATGCTGCAAAAAGTCAAACAACCGTAAATGACAGATTTTATGCTGCGCTACTGATTTTAATCATACTAGCCAAACACAGGATTGCGTCTCCCCTACAAACATTTGATCCCGAACAGGGACCACAAGAACATCTCTAACACCTTAATTGATTCTAATTTAACTTGGAGAATTTTGAAAACCTCCAGAACCTCTACTTGGATCTTCTTTACGTTAAGAGAGGAATGTGAATTGAGGGAATTCAGCAAATGTCTAAGCTGCTTAAGTTATTAAAATTATTAAAAACCAGTGATTTCCTTTCAAAACCGACCCAAGACAGACCTAGTGTGGTCACTTCTTATGTCACTGATGTTGCCAGTAAACCTCACCACAGTTGTAAATGATCCACCTATATTTCTGATGTGGTAAACAATGACTCTCACCTTTCCAAAATATTTACATCTTCTGTTTCCTTCCTTTTGACAATGTGGAATAGTGGTTAACAAAACAGCACTTATATTCTATAAGATGAATATTCAATTTACTTATGTCATAAAGGAAAGGAGAAACCAACCTTCTTGTACAGCTGACTTTTTAGCGTTTTCTGTCTCGTATTTTTTTTATTTGGCGGCACAAAACTCTGCAAACCTTCACTGCCTCCATCCATAAAATTATAGCATCATTTCTGCAGCCACTTGTCCAGAAGTGTAATTTATTGTTTGGAGTCTGCAGAGCCAGTGGGCTTGTATTGGTTGGAGATTTGATTTTATTAATGCATGAGCTGTGAGGCGGACATATGTTATTCTCCCCACTTTACTGCTTCATGTTTTATTAACAATCTATAGTTTAGAACACATCAGGAATAAATCAATTAATCATTAGCTCAGACTTTCATAGAAGTTGTTAAGCAGATATTCTTATATAATACAGCAGCTGAGATGTATTGTGAGGTATGTGAGATTTATTGTTTACATGTGTGGTGAGCTGAATGCCTTATTAATCCTGATGAAAAATGTGAGAGTACATGTGATGACATATTTGGGCCTGAAAAATAACTGTACGCCTTTGACACGTAGTGAATGCAGCAGGTATTTTTCAGCATTGCACGTCCCCACAAGGGGGCGAGGTCCCCGGTCTGCGATCGCCTTGTTAGGAACAATCCCACTAGTTATTGCACACGGGTATATACTCATTTCTCACTTTGACTCACACACAAACACACACTCCTACATAAAGGGACACTCACTTGACCGCACACACTTCAGCCATGCTTTCCTCTCACTCTCTCTCACACACACACAGTTACCAACATGTTGCCTGATTGCCATGGTGACGAGACGGGCAATACTCAGTGTCCAGCCTCACACAGTTCACACATGGAAACCCACCCACATTCAGGACAGTACAGAGTATTGCGCGCACACACACACACAGAAATGACACAGACTGTTGTGTTGCGTCAGCACAAAGCAATTACAGAAAGCAGCCAATTTCTGATAAGATTTTGCTTCTTCATTTAAAAAGATAAAAAGACATAAAAACATTTTTTTCATTAAAATGATCATTTTACTCCAACATGTAAAGTCAGTAATATTCCCTTATTTAATAAAAACAAATCTTTTATATTGAGCATGTGTTAATTTGCAAATATAGCTTCTTTTTTTTTGATGATCTTGAACGTTACTCACCATCTCCTCTTTATGTTTCCACTCTTTTTTTTTTTTTTCCACATCTCCATCTTCCACCCCCCCCCACTTCTTGGCAATTCATCTCCCATCTCCACCACTTGTGTTCTCTCGACTCCACAGATGATGGGGAAGACGGACGACGACAACTACACGCTGGATGACATGTTTGTGTCAAGTGCAGCACAGCGGGAGGGCGAGGGGAAAGAGGAGGAGAGGATGAGGAGCAGAGCCATCGGGGAGAGTAGGAGGATGGCTGCCTCTCTGGAGAAATGTCAGCGCTGCTTCAGCAGCCAAGAGCTCCAGAAGCACTTAATAGTGGCAATAGGGAGCAAGGTACGGGGTTGGGAATGTGGGATGACTGGAATTGTGTCTTTGTGTTAGGGTAAAAACATGATTTTAGGATTGGAAGAAACATCATTATTTAAAAAAAATAAAACAATTATTTAAAAAATGGTTCCAGGAGCAAGACGTGTCTGTAGTTAACTTTGTTTGTGAACTCGTGTCCAGGTGTACCTGAGCCTTCCTGCAGGAGTGTCAATGGCAGAGGGACATTGTCTTATTAGTCCTCTACAGCACCACTGTTCCGCAACCTCATTGGACGAAGACGTCTGGTCGGAGATGCAGGTTAGTCCACAAGTCCTCTTGGTCCCATTTTAATACGCAATAAGTGACCAATAGGTCATGACTTTCTGTCATTGTGTCCTCAGCTGTTCCGCCGTACGTTGGTCCGCATGTTTGAGTCACAGGAGCTGGACTGTGTGTTCATGGAAACTCACATGAACCTTCAAAGAAAACAACACATGGTCTTGGAATGTATCCCACTACCTAAAGAGTTGGGAGACATGGCACCAATATACTTTAAGGTCTGTGTTTTATGTATTTTGTAGTGTTGTCCTAACACCATTTATATAAATAAAGTCTTCACTGTCGTCACATTAAACCATCTATCAGTAAAATAAAGATAAATAAAATGAGATGGTTAACACCACAGAGTTAAGAGCAGAAAGTGAGCAGAGCTTTTATAATCAATTTCCAGTCTCATTTCCATTGAAAACACTGTTGTCCTGGGTGTACCTCCAAACTGTTTATATTGTTAATATATTTTGTTAATATCTAATTAATGTATGTGGCCCAGTACATATACCAGTACCAGGGCATCTCAAATTTCTTTAGTTGACTGATAAAAATCTCTTTTATCTCCAGAAAGCTATCTTGGAGTGTGATGAGGAATGGGCGATGAACAAGAAGATTGTGGATCTGTCTTCCAAAGATGTCAGACGAGCTGTACGTACTTTATATTTTCACTTTTTGTCAAACTATCTAAAGATTATTTTGTCTTTTAAATAAAAACTTTAATTGTTTTCATAGGTTCCTCGTGGTCTGCCCTACTTTGCGGTAGATTTTGGACTCCAGGGAGGATTCGCTCATGTCATTGAAAATGAACAGAAGTTCCCTTACTACTTTGGCAAGGTCAGTGTGTGGTAGTTCAGGATTAACTTTGAAATAAAAATAACCACCAGGTTGCGAAACTGCCCTGTTTTGGAGACAAAGGAAGATGCATGCTGATAATGCTAAGGTTCGATGTCTGTTTATAATTAAATAAGAAAAAGTTGAATCTAATATTGTAAATAATTCTCACAGGAAGTGGTTGGTGGCATGATGGACTTAGAGCCACGACGATGGAGGAAGTTGATCAGAGAGAACTTTGACAATCAGAGGAAGAAGGTGTTGCAGTTCGCCCAGTGGTGGAAACCATTTGACTGCACCAAGACTTAGGGCAGAACATCAGTGAGGGCTGATGCCCTGGAGAAATAGGGATTAAATATAGTAAAAAAAAAAAATTAAATTTGTGTATAACTTAGTTGTCAGTTATTAGTAGGTATTACATAAAGGTATTGCAAAGTAAAGTCATCAAAACTATAACTGTTTCTATCAAATAAAACCTTAAAAAACTCTTTATCATTTGAAAAAGTGGTTATCAGGCATCACAAGCAATAAATTCATAGTCCCCAAATATTAGATTTAAGGTTTAATCCTTCAAGATAATGTGTCTTAAGAATTTAATGTCTCTTTCAGAATTTAATCAAAAATGACTTTCAGTCAGGTTAATCTATTTGTTCTTTTTCATTCACACCCAGGAAGCATACTTTTTAAATGAAGATTTACTTCTAACTGTTATAAACTATAATAATTTACAATTGCACACAATAAGATACGCCAAAATTAAAAAAAGAAAAAGGTTAACTTTTACTACTATATAGAGCAGGGACAGAAATAAAAAAAGGCTGCGATAAAATTTTCCTATATTTTTGTTTGATTCCTATTTCGGTACTGCAGATTTACAAAGTAGATCTTTACCTGGATAATAACCTCATGCTGTTAACTTAAATGTATGGGGAACACTGGTCTGAATGACTGCAATGTATCGATGCATTTAAATGACAAAACGATGACAAATCAATCATGATAGTTTACTATAAACCCTAGATTTAAACCTGGAGTTAAGTTTCAAATAATACTATTAAAAATATCTTTTCTGACCATTTCTCATTGTCTTGTCATCTCTTGTGGTCTTTTTACAGCATACTCCTAAATTTTAGAAGTTCCAGAGTCGTGACAGTCACAAGGGCATGTGTGTTCAACTACGCGTTTCTCATCCCAGCACTCACCCCTGACCTGATGTGCGTACCCTCCTCTCAGGAACAATCAGCCCCACTGCCCCGGTCTGTGACCTCATCATTTTTTTCATCCAGTGGTACATCTCTGATTAGCCCTCTGATTAGCTCATCACTTCTGAGACATGCTTCTTTCCAGGTTCAATCTCTGACAACATGTGGTGCATGGTTGTAGCTGCTTAGAGCCGCTGAGTTCAGGGTCACTGAAGGGAGGAATTTAGATAGTCTTTTATTGTACTGGTTGTTTTGGGGGGCAAAGGCCTTGGTGTGAAACCCCTTGTGGTCAAAACAGGCGGCGAAAGAATCAATCTCTTTTATCAGAAAACCAAAGGCGACATTGTCAGATGACCTGACGGGAGAAATCCTAAAGATCTGGACCAGTACAATCATAACATAAATTACCTAAGAATAACAATGAGTCCATGTTTTTCTACTTTGTTTCCATGCAAATAAGTACAAGAAAATGTTCATATTTAATGAAATATTATTTCACAAAACATCACGAACATGAATTGTTTGTGCTTTGTTTCACTTTTAAAATTCATCAAGCGAGCCAGATTGAACCACCGAGCGGGCCGTTATTGCCCACGGCCCATATGTCCCACACCCCTGATATTTAGTTTCTGAACAAAGGGTTGTCAGTTTAAATCCCTACCCTGGTAGGAATGCCTGCACCAAAAAGTACCTTGTTGTCTTAAATTTTTTATTATCGTTCCTGTGTGTCAAGTCTTAATTGCAGATAAGTTCAAAGAAGAGTATTTTCTCTCCAGTGATTACTGCAGTACTGAATAAAACAGAAGATGGGTTTTGCGTCCTAGGTCAGATGGTGATTTTATAGTCTATTAAGATCCAGCCACAGTCACAGTATTTCATGGACTTGACGAGACATGTCCGTGTGGTAGCCAACCACTATTTTAAAAATGATGCTGCCGTCAAACCGCCCTACGTTCAAAAATGTTTCTTGTGGAAGGTTAAATGCTAATGACATAATATTCGGGAACCTCCACGGTGCAGCTCTCAGTGTTAACTCAGCAACATGCAATTTACTACTTTTCTACTCGATGTGTTCTTTAGAACCCTCCCGTGGGAATGTACACAGGGTTATTTATATTATCTCAGTGACAGAGAGGCTCAGGTTCATGGGTAATAGCAGCCGAGTGGTGTAGACTGATATATGGTTATGGTCTTGCATTTTAAGGCATTTTGAGATTTTGGCATTTTTCACTAAAATGCAAGATTATGTCCTA